TTGGCCACTCCCAGCCTAGGAGGGCTGGGCCTTTGGGCTGCAGGGTGGGACAAGCACCAGTTCTGCCCCTAAGGGTGGCCCTGCCCAATCCCTCCCACAGCTCACTCTCATATATGCAAGCTCAAGGACCATTTGTCCTTGATGGGTTGTGACCCAGCTGAGGTCCTTCCTGTCTGGCCCAGGAGGGCCTCCTTGGAAAGGGCTCTGGAGGAAGTTCCAGGGCTCTGGGGGCCAGCAGTTCCCTGGGGCAGGAGCACAGTGACACCACCCAACCTGCCTTTACCCACTGGCAACACACCCAGCCACACAGCCACCTGCTCCCCCGGGGAGTCCCCCACCCAACGTCCAGCGTCCGGTGGGGTCCTGCTCTGAGCAGGGGACACAATGTGCCTGCAGGTGTCAGCCTTGCCCTGGCCACATTCAGTCTGAGGGTGGCAGGGTCTGGGGCTGCTCTGGGGCAACAGCAGCATCCTAGGCCAGCTTAGGGGATCTGGTGAGGACAGTTAGAAGGGGGCCCATGGCAGTGATGCACAGACTCTGTACCTGCTGCAGGTGTGGACTTGACTCGCCAACCTCTGCCGATGGCTGTGGCAGTGGCTGAGGCTGTGCCTGACCACAGGGTGGATCCATATGCTTGCCCTCTGCCCTCCTCCTGGGCCTCTGTTGGCCAACCTCTTCTGTCCCGTAGCCTTGTTATTGCTATCGAGTCCCATGAGTGAAATGTCACCAAGTCTGTCCCCCAGGTAGGGCCCAGGAGGCACAGTCCTGGCTGGGGAGCTGGAGGGTGCATGGAGGTGGGGGGGGCACCTGCGCTGGGGTAGCTCCCTGGGCTTCCTCATCTGTGGCATTAACCCAAACTGCACATGGCCTAAGCACACCTGGGCACTGAGTCCCATGCTGTGTGGCCTGGGGCTCGAGGAGCTCCAGGCACGCCCCTAGCTGTGGCCGCTGAGGTCTGCACCCCCTCCTTCCTCTGTGCATAGCACTGCAGGCCCACATGTGGCCCAGCTCTGAGCCTGTTCCTGTTCAGAAGGCTGCCCAAGTGCGAATCGTCCTTTGCTCCAGGAAACTCTGTTAAATGTGACTTGCCTAAGGCTTGTGGGTATCAAGTTCCCAAAACTCTGTTTGCTCAGGAAAGCAAGTCTGGCCCAGGAATGCAGCAGAGCCCCGAGCCCTTCAGCTGAGGGCCAGCTCCACCAGTCAGTGCCACTGGGCACAGCAGAAGCTTGTGTAGTCTGAGGAAGCTCCAAGGAGGCAGAGACAGGGCTGCTAGTGGCCACCACTGCTCCTGGAGAGGGAAGTGAGGCTGGGCCAGGCACCCCCCGCACCCAGGAATAGCAGCTGAGGCCTATACTCTGGCTCCCCACTCTTCCTTCCAGAATGTATTCAAGGGTCGAGGTGCACACACTAGGGCCCAAGGCTGGGCCGAGTGCTGCCCCCACAGCTGGCTGCAGCTCCCCTGAAGCCCATGGCTCCAGGGTGAGGGCTTTCAGCCTGGTCCTGACCTGCATGACCCAGGGAGTCTTACCATCCAGGACTGGCCCACAGGTCAGGCCCTGCAAGCCCCACCTCCCGTCTCCCACCCCAGATCCTGGACCCTGAAGGAGCAGCAGGACTAGCTCCTCTTGGTTCGACGAGGCTGCCCTTCCCATGGTTATCTAAGACTCCAACACAAGCGCTTGGTGAGGATGGGCAGCTCCCTCACCACTGGGTGCAGAGCAGGAACCCCACACCCTCTTGCCTCCTCCTGCAGGGGTGGTGCCTCCTCTCCTACCCTCCCCAGGGGAAACTACCTGAGGTTTCTCAACCTGCCAGGAGCCCTTGTGGCCATGCCCACCCAGCTTCCCACCCTCTATGATGTGCAGACACTGCCATGGGGTTTTGTGTGACCAAGGCTGGGGACCACCCATGGTGGGCAAGGGGCTCCTGCTCACTGGGCCCCTTACTTTGGGTTCTGCAGCAGCTGGTGGCCCTGCAGCCAATGCACATCATATGCCACCTTGCGGAGGCAGGGCCAGGCTCTGCACATCCGCTCCTTGCCTTCCAGGGACTTGGGAGTCGCCCCGTGCCGCCTCCTGCTGGCTGTGAGCTTGGGCAGGCAGGGGCCAGGCTTCTGTGGACGCTCGAGGAGCCCCTCACCTATCCACTTCCTGCTTTTCTGAATTAGGACAAGAGAACCGGCATAATTATGTTTCGAGTCTCTCCTATCTGTCAGGTGAGGGGGATGAATGTCGACTGAGATAAAATAAATGACACGCACAAAGTCTACCTGGCTCGTCATTTCCCAGGGGAGACATCAGTACCCCACACAGCAGTGGGAGTAGAGAAGGCCGAGCCTTGGGCCCTCAAGCCTGAGGACGGGCCTTCTCAGGGAGGATGGGCTGAGCTACTGCTGAGAGGGCAGAGCAGGGACTGGGCCAGCACTGACCAAGGCCTGTGAAGGACTTTGCAGCCTGCTGTGCCAACCACAGATGGGTATTAGCCACCTCCACTGTGGGGGTCAGGGCTGAAGGAAGAGTCTCCAGGTCGCCAAGGGTGTCTAATGGACCCTGAGGGCTCCTGGGCATGGGACCATATGGAGGGAGAAGTGGCAGCTGAAGGAGGACAAGAGAAGAAGGTGCACGTCCAGGATGGGAATACCAAGGTTCTCAGAGACTGTGATGTGTCCCCTCGTGGGCTCCTGGGTATGGGTGGGGTGAAGGAATGAGTCCTTGGTCCTCCCACCCACAGCTGCTTCCGGAGTGCTCGTTCCAGGGAGGAAAGGAGCCTGCGCCTTACTAGCTGTGTCCACCACTCATTTCTGAGGGTTCACCCTGTCCCTGCCCACCCAGGGAAGGAGGGTCTAGCCTCTGCCAGAAGGGGAGAAGGTCAGTTACAGAGGGTGGAGGGAGCCCAGAGCAGGGACACAGGCACAAGGGCTGGCATATGTGAAGCCCACTTCTGTGCAAAGGTCCCTCTCCCAACACAACACCAGCCCCATGCCCTGGTGGCACTGTTGGCCCCACCCCAGCTCCATGGTGGCCTTCTCTGGAACACCTTCCTAACACCTTCCCCGAAGAGGAGTCTGATACTCCCCAGAGGCCAGCATGGGTGCCATGGTGCCCAGGTCACGCCATACATCCCCCAAGAACTGCAGGGCCCACAGCACCCCTCAGCATAACGCCAGCACTGACCTGCCCTCTGCACCCCACCTCACCATCTCCGGCTGGAAGGAGGGTGATAGCTGAATGCCCCCTGTCCACAACCAGCATGGAGCTCTCAGCCCAGGACTGCTGTTGCCAGAAGGGGCAGTGTGACCCACGTGGGCCCCACGTGGGGAGGGACCCAAGATCAGTGGCCACAGGGGCCAGCCCCACCAAGCCAGGGAGCACAGGCAAGGTCAGGGCCCAGAGGCACAGGAGTCTGCAGGTAGGGGGCTGGGTGACCGGCTGTCCCTGAGGGCACTTTGGGGCGTGGGTATGGCCAAGGGGTAAGTGTGGGCTGGGAGGGGTCAGAGGTTCTGCAGGAACCATCCTCAGGGCCACAAGCCCTCAGCCCTGGTCCCGAGAGCCTCAGGGGCCCTGCCCTGGGGAGCTTGAGGGAAGCCTGGTGGAGGTGAGCTGGGCTCCGCACACACTGAACTGGCCATTTCCACCTTCAGACTGGGGGGCAGTGCTGGGGGGCCAGGAGTCTGCCATGGAGGCGTCACGGCAGGGGGCCATGTCACCATCATTGGTCATAGGCCCTGGCCTGGCCAGGGGTCAGCTCCCATAAGCCCTGAGCCAGACCCACAGCCTCTCCTGGTCGGGGCAGGGGGAACAGTGTGTGCTGGGCACACAGGGGTATGCACTCCAGAACCAGGAGGGTGTGTCCTTGCAGCCTAGGTCCTTACGGGAAAGAGAGCTGGCCACACCACTGCCCCCTAGAGTTGTGGAGGATCAAACAACCAAGGCTCATTTTAGCGAGTCCAATGTTTCTGTCTTCCCTCCGCAATACTCAAGAGCTCTAGCCTAGGCCTGGGATGGCCAAGGAGGAGCTGGGCTCAGGAGGAGGCTGCTCAGCTGGCCTGGGCCCATGGAGGGTGGCAGGTGGGGGGCCCTGGCTCACTAACAGGGCCTCCCTGGAATCCAATCCTGCCTGCCCAGACCACAGTGCCTACAGGAAGCTGCTGGAGGTGGGGGGCTGGACCCCTACTGGGCTCCTGTCCAGCACCTGCCTCTGCCCCCTCAGGAAAGGGGAAGCCCCAATGCTGCAGTCTGCACCTCCCCAGAGGCGTGGGGACACCCACAGGGAGGCTGGGGCTGGTGGCTGCCCCAGCAGAAGGCCAAGGAAGGTGTGTCCCAGCAGTCCCAAAGAGACCCCTTGTCCTCCCCAGCCAGCTGTAGCTCAGGCGCAAGGAGACCAGGGGACTTGCCTTGAACAGCCTCACCATGGCAGGACACCCAGAAAGAATGGGGCTGAGACGGGGTGGCTGGCAAAGGCTATCTAGGGAGGGGACACGTGAGCAGGGACACTGAGGCAGGCACAGCCACGTGGGCACAGCAGGAACAGCATTCCAGGCAGAGGAACAGTGAGGGCAAAGGCCTGAGGACAGGGACAGCGGAGGCCCTGGTCCCAGCCAGCGCACAGGCAAGGTGGTGGGAAGGGGGCCAAGCTGGAGGACACCGGTCGCGTTCTCACCTGAGCACTCTGACACCCCAAGCGGGATGCCCACTAGGGTGGAGGTGCCTGACACCCAAGCCCCTGTGGCTGTGTGGCCAGGGTCCCTAGGAGGAAGGGACAGACAGGCACTGCCCCAGGCTGCATGGCAAAGCTGAGGCTCCAGGGCCCAGGAGCCATGGCGGGGCCAGGAGGCTCCTGAGGCTGCACTCACATTCTGCAGGTGCAGCACAGGTGGACAGGATGCCCCAAGACTGACACAGTGACTTCCCCTTCCCCTCCAGCCCCAGAGGTCCTGGAGGAAAGCAATGTCCTTGGCATGGTGCCTTCAAACAGCGTAAGGCCCATTGTTTGAAGCTGGAGCTGGTGGGGGCCACGGAAGCCCCGGCAATGCCCTTCGTCCCACTTACCGCAGATCCAGGCCCTGAGTGAAGACCAGCAGAGTGCATCCAGCAGCGCCCAGCAGGATGGAGGTGCTCAGGGCTGTCCTCCTGGCCCTGCTGCTGTGCGGGCAATCAGGTGCGGGCATGAGGGGGTGGTGTAGTCCTGGCCCTGGGACCCCCATGGGCCCCCAGTCTGGGGACAAGGCATGGGTTTGGGGGAAGGAGGGGTGAGGCTGGTGTCCCCAGGCTAGAAGGAGGTGGGTAAGGCTGTCCTGGGCCCCCAGAATCATGGCCCCAGCTGGGACCAGGTTCCCCTCTTCCCCAGTGCTACAGGGCTTTGGGGACCCTGCTCACTTCTGGTCTGTTTCCTCTTCTGTGAACCAGACAAGCCGTGGCGAAAAGGGTGGACAGGGGTGGGGGCACTCCACTCGAGTGTATGTCCTCTGTACCTGGGTGGCTGAGGTTTAGAGGCGTCCCTGCACGGCCAGGGTGTGGACAGGCACAGGAGGAAGATGCTGATGACACGGACTTGGGGCCGGACAGCTACGGTTATGATGATGAGGATGAGGAGGACGAGGAGGCCAATGTGGCCCCTGGCACAGGTACCCTTCACCACCCGGCCCAGGGCCCTGCCCCCCTGCCTGGCTGGAGGGGGCCTCTGTCCTCACCTCCGCCCTGAGGGTGGAGCAGAGAGAATGGCCTGCCCCGCACCAGGAGGCCTCGCCTGCCCCAGGCTGCTCTCTGTCCTGCAGCCTTCAAGTGCCAGGCTGCCTGCCCAGAGTTCTCAGATGCACCTCCAAGCCCTCAAGGCCAATGGCAGGGGCCGGGGGCCTGGGGCCCTGCCACTGAGCAGGTAACCAATGGAGGCACAGAAAGGTCACCCTGCTGTCCCCATGCCTCATCCTGGCTCATCCTTCAAGAACCTCCAGCAAGGGGCCCCCAGGGTAGGCCCTGGGAGCAGCTCATGGGAAGGGTGGATGGGGCTTGCTTGAGAAGGCCCTGCAGACCCTGCCCTGCTGAGCAGGCCACGCCCACAGAGCGCCTGCAGTGCTACTCCTGCCAGTCCCTGCACAGAGGCGAGAACTGCACCCAGATGCAGAGCTGCCCTAGCCACGCCTCCTGCATCACGCTGATCACCCATGGAAACACAGGTGAGTGGATGCAGCTGGCACACACTTGGGGGCCCCAAGGGCAGGAGCCCACCTCTGTGCCCCTACTTCAACACCTGTTCTCCACCTTCCCCCAGACTCAGGTTTCCTGACCACCTACTCCATGTGGTGTGTGGACACGTGCCAGCCTATTACCAAGACAGTACATGGAACCCAGATGACCAAGACCTGCTGCCAGTCCACCCTGTGCAATGTCCCACCCTGGCAGAGGCCCCAAATCCTGGATCCTCTGGGTGGCAGGGCAGGCAGCCCACAGGACGGTGGAGCTGGCCATCCCAAGGGAGGCAGGGCAGGCAGCTCCCAAGATGGCGGAGCTGGCCATCCCCAGGAAGGGGAGGCAGACAGCCCCCAAGACAGTGGAACTGGCCATCCCCAGGGCGGTGGGGCTGGCCATCCCCAGGGCAGCAGGCCTGGACATCCCCGGAGTGGTGGGGCTGGCCATCCCCAGGGAGGCAAGGCAGGCAGCCCCCAAGATAGTGGAACTGGCCATCCCCAGGGCAGCAGGCCTGGACATCCCCAGAGTGGTGGAGCTGGCCATCCCCAGGGTGGCAGGGCAGGTGGCCCCCTAGGATGTCCCCAAAATGTGGGTACAGCCCTCCTGCTCAGCCTCCTCACCAACCTTTGGGCAACGGGGGCCTGAAGACTTGCCCTCTCCCACCACTTAGGCCCTGGCCTGGCGCTCTGTCCAGTGTCTCCCCTACCCCATCTCCAGCCTGAGAATAAACCTGGAGTGTCCTTCATGACCCAGCCAGCTCGGGCTCTCTTGGCCAGTGTGTCTGCAATCCCTCCCAAGGTCCTGTTGTAGCCAACCCAGGACGTCAGTCCTGAGGACAGAGAACAGGACACCAGAGGCTCTGGGAGGGGCCACCCTCTCTCATCCAGCCATCTAGAGTGGCGAGGTGGGGCTGGACCCCATACCACCATCAGGGCCATGGCCACTGTAGCAAATTACCACTGACTAAAAACAACACAAGTCCACACTCCACACTGAAGGCCAGACACGTGAAATCAAGGTTCTGGCTCCAGGGCTCCATATCCTCTGCAGCAGACCCCTCTGACTCCCTCCAGAGCCCCCATGACATGTTCAGGGTCCACCTGTATCACCCAGAGCAACCTCATCTCAGATCCTCCTCTCCATTGTGCCTGCCGAGTGCCACGTGCCACTTGAGGCAGCATCTGTGGGTCCTAAGGATTAGGGCCTGGGGATTGTTACCCTCTCTGGACACCAACCCTGTGTCTGGCTGTGTCTAGGAGCCATGAATAAAGCCTGACTACAGGATTCAAGGAGGCATGGTCCAGCACGAGGAGCACGTGTTGGGACCTTGTCCAGACTGCAGAAGCCAGACTGGAACGCTGCAGCCTGGGCTGGACTCCCGGCCAACTAGGACGTGGACTCCTGGCCCTGCAGTGTAGATTCAGGCTCCTCAAGACTAGGGTTTAAAGTTGAGTCTGGTTTTTTTTTTTTGTTTGTTTGTTTTTATTTTTTTTATTTTTTACACATCCATTGATTTACATATTGCCATACTAGTGTCTGTTGTGCTCCGCTGCCTTTCCCATCCTCCACCCTCCCCCCTCCCCCCCTCTCCCCTCCCCTCCCCTCCTCTCTCTCTACCCCCTCCACTGTATAACCCTGAGGGTCTCCTTCCATTTCCATGCAATTTCCCTTCTCTCTCCCTTTCCCTCCCACCTCTCATCCCTGTTAAATGTTAATCTTCTTCTCCTGCTCTTCGTCCCTACTCTGATCTTAGTTACTCTCCTTATATCAAAGAAGACATTTGGCATTTGTTTTTTAGGGATTGGCTAGCTTCACTTAGCATAATCTGCTCTAATGCCATCCATTTCCCTGCAAATTCTATGATTTTGTCATTTTTTAATGCAGAGTAATACTCCATTGTGTATAAATGCCACATTTTTTTTATCCATTCGTCTATTGAAGGGCATCTAGGTTGGTTCCACAGTCTTGCTATTGTGAATTGTGCTGCTATGAACATCGATGTAGCAGTGTCCCTGTAGCATGCTCTTTTTAGGTCTTTAGGGAATAGACCAAGAAGGGGAATAGCTGGGTCAAATGGTGGCTCCATTCCCAGCTTTCCAAGAAATCTCCATACTGCTTTCCAAATTGGCTGCACCAATCTGCAGTCCCACCAGCAATGTACAAGTGTACCCTTTTCCCCACATCCTCGCCAGCACTTGTTGTTGTTTGACTTCATAATGGCTGCCAATCTTACTGGAGTGAGATGGTATCTTAGGGTGGTTTTGATTTGCATTTCTCTGACAGCTAGAGATGGTGAGCATTTTTTCATGTACTTGTTGATTGACTGTATGTCCTCCTCTGAGAAGTGTCTGTTCAGGTCCTTGGCCCATTTGTTGATTGGGTTGTTTGTTCTCTTATTGTCTAATTTTTTGAGTTCTTTGTATACTCTGGATATTAGGGCTCTATCTGAAGTGTAAGGAGTAAAGATTTGTTCCCAGGGTGTAGGCTCCCTATTTACCTCTCTTATTGTTTCTTTTGCTGAGAAAAAACTTTTTAGTTTGAGTAAGTCCCATTTGTTGATTCTAGTTATTAACTTTTGTGCTATGGGTGTCCTATTGAGGAATTTGGAGCCCGACCCCACCGACTGTAGATCGTAGCCAACTTTTTCTTCTATCAGACGGCGTGTCTCTGATTTGATATCAAGCTCCTTGATCCATTTTGAATTCACTTTTGTGCATGGCGAGAGAAAGGGATTCAGTTTCATTTTGTTGCATATGGATTTCCAGTTTTCCCAGCACCATTTGTTGAAGATGCTATCCTTCCTCCATTGCATGCTTTTAGCCCCTTTATCAAATATAAGATAGTTGTAGTTTTGTGGATTGGTTTCTGTGTCCTCTATTCTGTACCATTGGTCCACCAGCCTGTTTTGGTACCAGTACCATGCTGTTTTTGTTACTATTGCTCTGTAGTATAGTTTGAAGTCTGGTATCGATATACCGCCTGATTCACACTTCCTGCTTAGCATTGTTTTTGCTATTCTGGGTCTTTTATTTTTCCATATGAATTTCATGATTGCTTTCTCTATTTCTACAAGAAATGCCGTTGGGATTTTGATTGGCATTGCATTAAACCTATAGAGAACTTTTGGTAATATCGCCATTTTGATGATGTTAGTTCTGCCTATCCATAAACAGGGTATATTTTTCCATCTTCTAAGATCTTCTTCTATTTCTCTCTTTAGGGTTCTGTAGTTTTCATTGTATAAGTCTTTCACCTCTTTTGTTAGGTTGATTCCCAAGTATTTTATTTTTTTTGAAGATATTGTGAATGGAGTGGTTGTCCTCATTTCCATTTCAGAGGATTTGTCGCTGATATACAGGAATGCCTTTGATTTATGCGTGTTGATTTTATATCCTGCCACTTTGCTGAATTCATTTATTAGCTCTAATAGTTTCTTTGGAGAGCCTTTTGGGTCTGCTAGGTATAGAATCATATCATCTGCAAATAGTGATAATTTAAGTTCTTCTTTTCCTATTTTTATGCCTTTAATTTCTTTCGTCTGTCTAATTGCTCTGGCCAGTGTTTCGAGAACTATGTTGAACAGAAGTGGAGAGAGAGGGCATCCCTGTCTTGTTCCAGATTTTAGAGGGAATGCCTTTAGTTTTTCTCCATTCAGAATGATGCTAGCCTGAGGCTTAGCATAGATTGCTTTTACAATATTGAGGTATGTTCCTGTTATCCCTAGTTTTTCTAGAGTTTTGAACATAAAGGGATGCTGTACTTTGTTGAATGCCTTTTCCGCATCTATCGAGATGATCATATGGTTCTTATTTTTAAGTCTATTGATGTGGTGAATAGCATTTATTGATTTCCGTATATTGAACCAGCCTTGCATCCCAAAAGTTGAGTCTGTTTTAAAGCCACATTAGGGAAAGTATTGAGAATGAAGAGGCCCCCCCTGAAGAGGCACGGCCAGCCTGTGTCCAGACCGGCCTGGCCCCTTGCCATTTCACACAGGCCTATGCTCCTCAGGACTCCCACATGTGGCTGGGACCACACCTGGCTGTGGAAGAGCAGGGGCATTGCCGGACTCCGGGACAATGTCTAAACACAGATCTCCTGCCCAGGAGCCCTGACCATCCACACACAGGACCCTCCCAGGGGCCACAGGTGTCCAACCCCTACACGCAGCCGCAGCCTGTGATCACCACCATGGGGGGAACAGAAGGTAAAAGGAAGGACCCTGAGACTGGAGGTCCGAGGTGCACAGATTGGAGGGTAGGCAGGAGAGACAGAGCAGGACCTGCCCAGCACCCACCAGGCCTAAGACTCCGGCTCTCGGGGACTGAGTGGGGAGCAGACCTGCTCTTGGCACAGACGCAGGCGTCAGGGAGTGATTAGGTGCCTCCCAGCAGGCCCCACTTTCAGTCTCACGATTCTGACTTCACACTGCTGCGGAGCGGCTTAGCAGACGGCTGGAGAAGCTCTGAGCTCCATCTCTGCCTGGGCACCTGCGTCCCCCCAGCCTGGGATCTGGCTGTAGAACTGGGTCCCTGAAGGCTCTGAATTGTGTCACACAGCTCCCCAGGCAAAAGCCTGGCCCTTCACCCCTCAGAGGGGCCTGGCTACGCACACAAAGGCCTTCTACCCACATGAAGCCCCAGAGCCTCGCGTGCATTTGTGTACGCATGTGTGAGTGTGAGAGCTGCATCCAGCACCTTGTGCATGCCAGGCAAGCACTCGACCACTGAGCTACACCTCCAGCCCTTCTTATTTTTTGAGGCACGATATTGCTACATTGCCGAGGCTGGTCTTGAACTTGCTATCCTCCAGCTCTAGCCTCCTGAGGGGCTAGGGAGCCTGTTAGCAGCAACCTCTTGCACTCTTCCCTCAAGCCTGGCTTCTCGGCAGCCTCTGGTGTCCAGGCCTTGGTGCACGCCATGGCTCCAAGGACGCACAACTCCACCTCCATATGAAGGGACCTGACATGCAGAGAGCAGCTCTTGCTGCAGCAGGTAAAAGGAGATGTAGTAGATAGCTGAGCCTCGTGCAGCTTGCCGCGTTTCCACCTCCCTAGGGTTACCTCCTGCCAAGAATGGAACACCTGGGGAGGAGGACCACTGTACCTGAGCCGAGCCCCCAGAGGCTGATGCCCCTGGGGAGGGACTCTGGGGTGGCTCCCCAGGCCTCCAGACATCAGAAGAGGGTGCTGCAGTGGGCAGTCCTCACACAGGGCCAGAGACCTGCACCTGCCCCCTCTAGGCCTCACTTCCCTTTCTGGAAGAGTTCAGGTGGCTAGGCGCTTGCTGGGGAAAAGACCTGGTCACCCTAGGGAACACCTCACCAGTCTGGTGACATGGGGTGGGGGCAGAGAAACTGGGGCTTGGAGCTCAGTCACTGTGGGAACGCCTTTCTGGGAGCATGGCCTCTTTCTCTGGGCCAGGACCCAGCTCTAGCAGGTGATATGGCCAGACCTGAGACCAGAACCCTGCAGGTACCCTGGCCAGGGACAGGGCTGCAGGTGCCAAAGCCACTAAGTACCAGTCTTCCCACATCTGGGACAGGGCAGGCCATTACAGCTGTGCTAGAGATGCTGCCTGTCTGTTGCCTGGCCTTCAGCCTCTGTCCTTTTCTCCTGAGCACTTGGTTGCCCAGTGGTCCTCACCCTTGCTCTCTCCACTCCAGTGACTGCTGGGCCCCCAGGTCCAGCACCAGAGTGCCTGCGGCCCTCAGCCTTGCAGTGTGTGCAAACTCCGGGGTCTCCTGGATGGGGCGAAGGTAACCGCAGACCTAACTGGCACATCCCCACATGCGTGACAGCAACTGGTGGTGGCAGAGATTCTCTGCCTTGAGCTGCCGCTGTCCCGAACACCTGGTTCAGCTGCCACCATGGCAAGCTGTTAGGAAACAGACCACCCCTCTCCCTGCCCTGGGCCCCAGTGCTCTGTCTGCCAGGCAGGGGGCATGAGCACAGGCTAAGACCCCTGCCCATAGCAGAGGCCCGAAGCCAGAAGGACAAGGGCCTGGCAGGGCTGGACGAACTCCTCGGGCACAAGTGTGGTCAGCAGAGATTATCCCTGACCTGAGCTCACAGAAGCCAGCCCAGCCAGCCCAAGGACACCCAGAGGAGGGGTGTGCAGAGCTTGGCCTGTTGGAGAAAGTCAGGTGTACCCCACACTATGATGCAGGAAGCCCTTGTCCCCTCTTCCAGTCCAGGTGACCACAGCCACCTGTACATGTATCAAGAAGGCACGTACCTTCCCACCTGGCCTTGGGATCCTTGCAGCAACACCTGGCAGGAGTCCAGGCCATGTCTGGTGGGTGTCAGTGGCAGTCTCCTTCATTTTCCTCCTGGAGCCACCAGCCTGAACATGGTCCATGCACAGAATCCTGGGAGAGGGCCTCCTATTGTCTGGCAGAGCACTAGGGACATTTCCACTCCTATTTCCAGACCCCAAGCTTGGACAGGGAGCTGCTGTGGGCTCCTGAGGAAGCTCGGCCCACAGAGGCCTCTTTGTGGTTGCCCTCAAGTTCTGGCAGCATGGGGGGGGCTCTTGTGTGGGCACTTTAGGGCAGGCTTAGGGTGGGGCTCGTGCTGACCGCAGGGGTGCTCTCAGGGCAGCTTGGTGCCTCCCTGTCCATCCCTCCTCGTCCCCCGTCAGTCAGAGCATGCAGCCTTCCACCTCAGACCCTGGTGCAGAGAGCCTCGGGTCCACCTCTGCTGTGACCAGGAAGCAGTGACACGGCCGGAGCTGAGCAGAGCTCTTCAGGGAGGAGACTGCCAGCATCATTCCACGTGGGGGTGGGGGCCTGTGAACAGGATGGGGTCCCAGAGAGAACAGCAGCCACACTGGGAGGGCCTCCAGCTGCCCAGTGAATGCCGAGGGCAGGGGTAAAGTGACAGAAAAGTCCCTCCTCGCAGCTCTGGGGCTGGAGTCTAAGGTCAAGATGTGGGTGGGGTTGGTTTCTCCTGGACACACGTGCACTCTGTCCTCTCTGGGTGTCCTCCTATGGCTCACTCTGATGACCTCATTTTACCTCGGACACCTCTATGGAAATTCACCGAATACAGCCACACCGTGAGGCATGCGGAGCAGGGCAGCACACGGCTCCTAGGAGCGCGGCCACCGTGTCAGAGCTTGTGGCACTTGAGACTGGGAAGGCAGGGGTCCGGAGCTTCCATGGAGCCCTCAGCACTGACCACCACACTCAGCAGTGACCCACACACATGTGTCACTCACACCCAGTGTACATGTACGTACACGTCCTGCTGGCCTCTGGCTAGCCACAAGGATGGCAGATGTCTGGGAGCACGGCGCCTGGAGTGGCCAGTCAGGACATGTCTACCTGGAAGCCTAGGAAAAGTGGACTTCTGCCTCAGGCCTGAGGGGCTGAGCAGGCTACTGTAAGCTGCTCTGTGCCAGTTGTCCTCACATGGTCATTTAGCTGACCCTCACCCTCACCTGGGATCAGGAAGCATGGGGACACAAGCTGGAGACATGTGGCTTGGCTCTGGCAGAGGCATCTGCAGGGGTACTACGATAAGGAGTGACCCGTCTGCCCCAGGGGCTAGTGGTACCTGGGAAGGGAAGAGGCACAGGCTGCAGACCAGCCCCTGGGAGCAGGCCCAGCACCACATGGTGCTCCCCCCTTGCTCAGGGCCCACCATGATCTGCTGGCTCAAGAGTGCAGGGTGCCCGTGCCTGGCTCCAGGGAGTCGGGAGGGGGCTCTGTGGGGTATGCAGACCCTTCCTGGGGCCCAATGGACAGGTCTGGGAAAATAAGTCACCTACAATACCCAAGGGCTCCTCAGATCAAGTGTGTCTTGAGTGTTCATTCCTACTCCAGAGTCACCTACCCACCCCTGCTCTACTGAAGGGAGACACAGGCCAGGAACTTGACTCCTCTAAAGTTCCTTGGGGATTTCCTGCCTCCCCGGACAGGAAGCCGCAGTCCACAGGCACCTCCTGCTCCTGGCCCTGGACTATGAGAACTCGCTGAGGCAGGCACTGTCCCTAGAGCAGGAAATTCCTGAGGAAGGAGACTCGTTATCAGTGCCCTCAGAGACCACAAGGGCTTGCAGAAGCTGCTGAACATGGGAACAGGGGGCACCACCAGAGGCAGAGCTAGGCTACCCTCTCCTCTGCACCCAGGTCCCAACACAGACAACTCTCAGGAACTTTCCAGAAGAGACATCACCTGCTTGGTGCCATGGGAGACAGTACCTCCTCATGCTGTGCACATAAACAGCTCCTGCCCACCAGACTGTAGGGTGGGGCAGGGTCCCGCTGGTCCAGAGAGAGCTCCTGGAAGTCAGGGATGTGGGAGGTAGGCTTGACATTCCAGCTTGGCTGCAGAGGCTCCCTAAGGAAAAGGTGCTTTAGTGTCTCAGGTGTTCAGCAAAGAGAAGCTGGGACCACACAGTCCAGCGCGTTCCAGCCCAATTATCCCATGCACATGGCTGCCCATGGTGGGCAGCTATACCAAAATAGAAACCACTCAGCAAAAGACCCAGGGAGTGGGAGCATCTCTGAAATCCACACATGGGACAAGATCATATCTACAGTGCATCTACCTACCACCTCATGAGGGAACAACTACCCAACTAAGAGGGGCAAGAGGCCCTCGCTGAGGACAAGCAGACCACAACAGGCACGTGGAGAGACCCATCACCACCAGCCCTGAAGACACAAATCAAAACCACAGGGAGGTGTCCCCACACACCACACAGAAAGGCCAAAATAATAGTAGAACCACCAAACTGGGGTGGATGCAGGGAAATGAGGCCATACACACATACTACTGGTGGCAAGGGGAAGTTGTATGGCCACTCTAGAAAAGAGTGTGGCTGATTCTTACAAAACTAAATGTGCAGGGCTGGGGTTGTGGCTCAGCAGTAGAGTGCTCGCCTAGCATGCCGAGGCCCTGAGTTCGATCCTCAACACCACATAAAAATAAATAAACAAAATAAAGGTATTGTGTACAACTAAAAAGTAAATACCAAAAAAAAACAAAAACAAAAAAACAAAAAACCCTAAGTGTGCAATTACCATATGACCTACTCATTGCACTCCTGGGCACTGAACCCAGTGACATGAAGGTTACCTTCAAACAAAAGCCTGCACGTGAGTGTTTATAGCAACTTTGTTACAATCCCAAACTGGAAACAGTGCCAATCCCAGTCACTCCTAGGGTGAATGGTCAAACTGTGATGCACATACCAGAGGGCACTTCAGCAATAAATAGGAGAGAACATCTACAGAGGGACACCCAGGGAGAAAAGGAAAGTTCCGGGGCGGGGTGAGGGTCCCCGACTTCATTTCAGTGTAAGTTTAAAAATGAAGAGAACAGATCAGCGCTGCTAGGGATCTGAATGTGATATCGAACTAGTCAGGCAAAGTGACATTCTTGGAGGAAACTCAGCAAAGTAAACTAAGCAAAGTGTACAACTGATTTCTCAGTATATCATCATCCTGGTCATCTTCACTGAGTTACTGGGGACGGAACTCAGGCCTCTGCTTGCTAGGCAAGGGCTCCACCTCGGAGCCACGCCCCAAATTCATGGAGACATCTCACTAAATTGTCTAGACTCCTCCCACTCGGGACCCTCCTACTGCAGCCTCCCCGGTAGCTGGGATCACAGGCTTGCGCCACGGTGCCCGGCTCTCTATTATTTCTTAAAACCGGGCGCGAATATACAATTACCTTTTACTTAAAAGTTTTAATTAAAAAGCAAAGAAAGCAGCCTCGGAAAGTCCTGCTGGGGAGAATACTGCAGGTTTGGACCTCGCTGGACTGGACTATGCGGAGAAGCCTTTGGCGGAGCGCTTTCCCGGCTGCCTACCCCTGAGCACTGGGGCCCGCGGACCCGGCCCGAGCGGCCCTCCTGCCTCCGCGGCCGGGGGCGGCCAGGGCGGCCGGGGAGACCCAGGCTGGGCAGGCGCAGGAGATCAGCTGCAGGCTGAGCGGGCTCCGAGGAGTACCTTTCCCATGGCCACATGGGGAATGCCTGCAGCTGGGCCTCCTAGGGAAGAGGCTCACTGACCTCCCAGGGCTGGAGGCGCGAAGTCCCAACAGCTCAGACTCTGAGCACAGCGAGGGGAAAGTCGGGAAGGGCGGGGGCAGCGACGCGGGCGGGGCGGGCGAGAGGCCCAGGGCAGGGGGGAGGCGCGGCGCGCGTCCGGGGCCCGCAGAGGAGGGGCGCCGCCTACCGACTTCCCGGCAGCCTTCCAGGCTCTGTGCGGGGGAAACGGCACCGCCCTCACTGAGCCGCGCGTCAGCACCGAGAAGCCGCGTGACGTCCTAGAGCGGCGCCGGAAGAAGCGGGACCAGGGTGGGGCGGAACACGGCGTAGCACCACCGAGAGTCCGTGCGACGGCCTAGAGCAGCACCGGAAGGGGCGTGTCGGCGGGAGAGCGGAGGGCGCGTCTTCCTGCGGGCTCCTCACGCTGGTGCGGTGGGAGAGGCGGGCCGGGTCCGGGCGGCGGTGCTCTCTGGCCGCCCGCCCCCAGCTGGGCTCGGCGGGGCGTCTGCTCCTCTGGGCGGAGGCGCTCGCCACCCTTGGGCTCCACCAGGTATCTCCTGCATTCGCGCGCGGCGGAACGGGCAGCAGGAAGGCCGGGCTCGCGCTCGGGCGCTGGCGTCGGAGGGCCAGCTGCGGAGGCCTGCGGCAGGCTTGAGGGTCCGGCTGGCCAGGTGGGAGCCCGTCCATCCAGGGCTCTCCAGCCCGCGAAGGGGCCAGTCTCCGTGGTTCCAGGTTCCCCAAGGCAGGGCCGGGGGGACAGGCTTCCAGAGAGGACCTCCTGCTGCTGGGTGCTCAGAGCTTGGAGAAGCCTCATCAGAGAGGTAAAAGAGCCACCCCGAAGTTGCACAGCAGGCCAGGGAGCAGCAGCAAGGCTGATGTGGACTGAGTGGATAACTGCTTGTGTCCACAGGCCGGTAAAGTGAGAGATTCCGTTTTTAATGGTTATTTTATGTCATGTCATAGGGAGCCACTTCAGAAAATTCAAATCCACCAGAACTTTACTTACCTGGCCAGGGACTGTCACCCACCCGTAGAGACTGAAGCTCTGTGGGAGAACAGAATTTCCTGGCCTGTGTCTTGGGAATTTAAGGATGAAAAACACAGCTCAGGGGCTTTTCTCAGCATCATACAAGCAAGCCAATCATAGATGCTAAGACAGTAGTTACCTGCGAGCCCTAAGCAGGACTGGAATTTTCCAGTTAGCAAGCAAGCAAGTTAGAGAAGCTAAGAAGCAGCTTGCAACTCAGTTAACTGCATCTTGGGTCTGAGCAGGTGTTAGACAACCATATTCTGAGTCGGAGCAGGTGGTTAATGGGGGCAAGAATCTACTTCAAAGTCTTGGGTCACCAAGACCACCGTGTCCTGGGTTGAGTACATTTTGTGGGGTATAAAATACAGAAAAAAGTATATTATGAGAAAACAGCTTTCATTTCAGTTTTTCAGAAACAGCTCTTGTAACAGTTTTTTAATAGAAGGTAGTAAAATGGAGGCCTAGGCCTATGACAGTTCTTGCTTTATAATGGTCTTTTCTCAATTCTAAAAATCTTGTGTCCACCATCTATATTTTTAACTAATCTATAACCTATAACTTACACTTTTATTGATTGTATTTATCAGTTCACACTAGTCAGTGTGGACACAGGTAGAGAAGTGAGCAAACCTAGTCCCTGCCTTCATGCCTGCCCCTGGAGGGCCAAGGACACCATCATAAAAAGTATTCTGAGCATGTCAGTGACAGGGACTGGGGACAGAGACACAGCCCTACCCTCAAAACCCCTGCCTCCTAAGGAGGCTTGCACACCATGATGAGCCACCTGAGAAGGGAACACTGCTGTGGAGCTCAGGACTTCACACTTGTCCTAGAGAGTAGTCTCCTGTGGGGCACACGGTGTGTTCTAACAGTTCCTGGGTCACCCGCTTCCTACTAGTACCTGGCCTCAAAGTGCCCGAGGGCTTGGAGCCTCTGAGAGCACCCCTGCTCTTCCTAGAAGAGTGGTGCCGCATTCCCAAAGCCTCCGCCAGCACATAGGACTGCTTCACCTACAGCTCCATCTCCCACCAGACCTGAACCGTCTTCTCCCAGAAGTCGTCTCCAGGCAGAGCCCACAGAAAGGGGTGTTGGCCTGTAGCTGAATCATCTAAACGTTTCATTTGGGAAACTGCACTCTCAAACTCCTTGTGAGGTAGAACTCTGGTCACTTGGGGCCACTTCCCCTCATGGAGGGAAGGCCAAACATCCCTTCCCGACTTAGCAAAGAGAATTCAAAGGATTTATATTAAAATATTTCACTTAGATGTGTGTTTCCCTTCCGTTTCCTGTTCACACTAGACCCCAGCTTCAGACTCCAGCCTGGTTGACCCGTACAAATAGGTGGAATATTGTTACATGGAGCACCACATTTTGAGGTAAGAGAATGTCCTAGTGGGCGAGAGTGACCATCCTGGGACTCTGACACTTTGCCAAGAACACTGTCTGCGAGAGTGGTTCCAGGAGCCAGGTAGTCCACCCTCCTTGGAGCTGCAAGCAGAAGGGTGCTCCCCGTATCTTATGGGGCTATCTTTTACCAGCATCTGAACGGGCCTGATGTTTTTCAGGGTGTTGTGCTGGAATCCATCAGTTAGTACTTAGAGGCAAAACAATACACAGAAGAAATGGAACAGGATTTTTTTTTTTAAGGGATTGAACCCAAGAGCAGGATTCTTAACAAATGAAAAGGTGCAGCTGACTCTTAAGAGACCTGGACCTTGCCTGTTACTCCTCTGGCTCTGGTTGACTAACTCTCGTGTGAACTGGTGCTGAGGTTGGGATTCTGTCACGCGGACTTGTGGATGGGAATTCAGGTCTTCTCCCCGAGCGGTCCTTGCAAGAGGCTGACATTTCTATAGGACAGTGTCCGGACCATGCAAGCACAGGCCTACTTGGTAGTTAGCTGCAGCTTTGGCCCCAAGTCTGAATGAGAAAAGCCAGTTGCTCAGGCAAGACGGCCGTGGGGGAGTCACCAGAGCAGTACCACGGCTGCCACCCCTCCTAAGAGGCCCAGTGGACGGCGGCAGAGATCAGACAGTGTGCTCCGGAAGTGATATCGTTCAATTTTTTAGACTTTCAGCACAGTTTACGACGTACTTCCATGTCCAGGAGCTTTTCCAAAGCCCTGGAAGAAACTGTATAAACTAGAAACATTATACATTTGGTTAAAGACGAGAGTGATTTGAGGGAAAAGGTGTGTGGGACTCTTGAGAAGGAGCCACTGAAGGCGAAGGGCCCTCCTTGTGCAGACCTCCAGGGGCAGGAAGGATGGTGGGTGCTTGGGACACTAGAGCCAGCTGGTAAGAGGAGGGAGACGTGAGGGCCGGGGTGCGGAAGCCTTGGTAGTACAAGTGGAAGCCTTTGGGGATTTGAGCGGGGATAGGTGTGCGATTTGCTGGCTGCTGTGGGCCAAGGGGGTAACCCACGTTTCACCCAGCTCAGCACTAAGATGTGGGTGATGGAGGCACCCCTCAGAAGCCCCTATTCCAGAGCATGCCCACTGATCCCAGTGTGAAAGGGACAGTTAGGGAAGTGGAGAAAAGAAAGCCACGTGGTGGCCATTCATTCCTGGTGCACACAGAACCCTGCTGGACACTTGAAATCCCTGCCCCAGCAAGAGGAGGGAGCCGGGGACGGGTGAGATGAGGTGGGAGCTCGTAGCACCAAAAGCACCTTGATCTGCTATTCAGTCTTGCCCTTTCAGCCACAGAGCAGCCAGCGGTGCTGTCTTCCCCGCACAGAGCCTCAGCCACGCGCAGCGGGAAGCTGCCTCGAGGGGCGTGGTGTCAGGAGGAGGAGCTGGGAGCCCTCAGCTTCCAGGGTGCCTTCTCCCAGGATCAGCATGGAGAAGCCTGCAGGCAGGAAAAGGAGAACCCAGGCCCCAGAGGCAGAGGCAGATGTGCAGAAGGCCACTCTGAAAGGAGAGAAAGCATCTGGTGGCAAGAGACCCGCAGCACCCAGAGAGCACCACAAGGAGCCAAGTCTGAGCCCTGAAGACGAGGCACAGCTCTTTGATGCCTTCGACGCCTCGTTTAAAGATGACTTTGAGGGTGTCCCTGTGTTCATTCCTTTTCAGAGAAGGAAACCCTATGAATGCAGTGAGTGCGGACGAATCTTTAAGCACAAGACGGATCACATTCGCCATCAGAGAGTTCACACTGGGGAGAAGCCCTTTAAGTGTGATCAGTGTGGGAAAACGTTCCGGCACAGCTCTGACGTCACCAAACATCAGAGGATCCACACTGGGGAGAAGCCGTTTAAGTGTGGGGAGTGTGGGAAAGCCTTCAACTGTGGCTCCAACCTCCTGAAACACCAGAAAACCCATACCGGAGAGAAGCCATATGAATGCCAAGAGTGTGGGAAAGCCTTTGCCTACAGCTCCTGTCTTATCCGGCACCGGAAACGCCACCCACGGAAGAAGCATTGAGTGGGGGTGGCCTTCAGGTCACAGAGTTCCTGCTGGGGCACCAGGGCTCCCTCATGCAGCATCCGGTGAGGCCTGGGCCCTGTGCTGTGTGCTGTGCGTGCCTCTGGCTACCATCCCTGTCGTCACCAGAAGAATCCACCCATCAGTGTGAGTTGGCAAGAGGCCTTTCTGCATCAAGCTACAGTGGTGGCACGGAAGCTGCTCGAGGCTCCTTGCAGCCACAGCCATTTTCCATGCTGCTCTATGCTGCTCAGTGCTCAACACAGAACAAACCAGCCTGTCACCTGCCATCCATGGGACACCTGAGGACACCCCTGGGTTCAGTCCCCAGTAGGAGTGGCATTCGTAGTTGGTGAAGGCTGATGGCTCCTGAGTGGCCCTGCCTATAGTGTCCACTCCACTCTGGTCCTGTTACTAACACCTTGAAGACTCCATCTGTGGATGCTCAGCCCCTTGGATCCCTGAGTTTAGTCCCAGGAACTGAGCAGGCACCTGGGACCCCAAGCTGGATAGCACTGGTCTGTGACCAGCTCTGGCTTCTTTACTAGGGTACCAGGCCCCAAGTTCAGCCCCGTCCCTGGAACTGAGCCGCACCTGTGCTCTCCCACCCAGCCGCCACCCCAGATGGACAACCTGACTTACCCAGACCGACCCGTCAGACATGGGCTCCTCGGCTCCTGAGTGCTGCCGCCTTGGGAGATTCCTGCCCTGGCCGTGTGCTAGGCCCCCAGGGTGCTACCTGCAGCTTCCATCCACTTGACCTTCAGACATGGTGGTGGCCCTGCCCCCTTGGTGGCCTCCACTCAGGTTAGTTCCAGTTCCCTGCCTCTCCCCAAGTCTGTCAAGTCCGCGTGGCTGTGCTGGCCCTTTGTATCCCAAGAGTGATTTGGATGGGACTCTGTGCTCTTGGGGACTGGCTTGTAGGAGGGCAGCAGAGCAGTGCCAGCCAGGAAGCAGGACAGCTTTTTACTGGGAGAATGCTGGCACCCATGTTTTCAACTGGGAGTAAAGACTGATAATGGCCTAATAGAGTGTTGTGGAGACTCGACCCTGAAAAAAAGCTTCCCAGCCAGAGCTGAAGATAGTGTGTCATTCAAGCAGTCACAGAAAGCAAGGGACACCACCCCAAATGATTGAGAGTGGTCCTATTCCCAGTGCAAATATTTTGCCAGGTGAACAGCTTTTACTCTCTGAATCCCCTAGGAGCTGTGACGCTCAGTGCCACTGCATGACCAGGTGTCCCCTGAGGCAGCCTCCCAGCCAGATTGGCCACATTAGTATCACAGGCATCACCACCCTTGCAGAGTGGCCTGCCACTCTCAACACACTTCCAGTCCCTGTGCTCAGTTCTACTTGAGAACACTGCACAGTGTACACAAAGCCTACTGCTTCCTGGCAGTGCATGCTGGCTGCCCAGTCAAGGAGCCCACTGTGATTGATGCTGGGGGCTGCAGTATGGCCAGCAGCTTCCCCATGCAGAGGCGGTGTGATTCCCCAGCTCTCAGTTTTCTGAAGGTTCACACTGAGTTCCTAGCACCAGACTCCCAGACTCCCTCTGCTTTACACACACACTAGCCTAGACATTAGGAAAAAAATTACCTAAATCAGCGGGGCACAGGGGCATGTGCCTAGAATCCCAGCTACTCAGGAGCCTGAAGAGGGAAGATCACAAGTTGAGGCCAGCCTGGGCAACCTAGTGAGACCTGTCTCAAAGTTGAAAGGGCTGGAATGCAGCTCAGTTGTGGAGCACCCCTGTGTTCAATCCCTAGTACCACCAAAGAACAATAATTCACCTAAATTCCAAAAACAAGTGAAGGCCTGACATAGGAGTTTAGCTTATGGCCCAGTTAATCTATAATGGCAGGTCCTGGAGCCCAGCCTGTCACTTTCCCATGTCCATTTTTTGGTCTACAAGACAGCACCTCACAGACTCCTGGAATATTCTGAGGCCAGGCTCTCTGGGGCTTCACCCACTGCTCTTGGCCTGGAGTGCAGGGCAGCCATGGCCCACCTGGACAGCTAGCTCCTAGTGATGCAGGGGACATTGGCTGGTACTACCCCCACGGGACAGAGGATTTCAGGTGAAGAGCCTCCCATGCTGGGACCTCCTTCTGAGTTGTTCCTAGGGGCTGTCCTGCCCAGGCTGGGTCACCGCAGTCCCAAGAGGAAGCCCATAGTCTCAGAAGTGCAGATCTGATGAAGTGGAAGTATACAAAAGCAGGTGTCAGAGTTGGTGTAGGACACTTGTGTGCTCACCCTTCTGTAGCATGTGGTCCTCAGTTGGAAGAGTTGCCCACGTTGCTGGGATGTTTGAAGGCACTAGGTTGTCGAGCAGTGTTTGCCTCCTAGCCCACGTCTCAGTTCCTAAAGGTGAGAGGTTTTCAGAGTTCAGTATCATGGTGTCTGCAGCTTATATTCAGATGTTGAACTAAAACCAGTGCCAACAGCATGTGTGTTCATATTGAGCTGCAGAGCAGATTGGCCAGTGTTGATTCTGAGTGGCGAGGTCGGAGGTTGGCACATGTCTTCTGTGAAAGGCCAGAGAGCAACCATTCCTGGCTCCGCAGCACACAGTTATCAGGTGGTGCAGCCCAGTGTAGAGCGAACGAGCCAGACTGGGTGCGGGCCAGAGCCCGTGGACCAGGCAGTAGCTGTCACTTTCCCATTGTGGTACAGGGTTAGGGCACTGAACCCTCAAAGCTGGCAGACTTTTCCTTTGCAAACTTTCTATAGGTCTTAAAGTCCTTCAGAACTAGATGTTGGCCAGGAAGTTGGGAGACTTGGGTAGAGGACATGCATGGGAGCCAGAGAGTGGCCAAGAACATCTCAGTCTGTGTCCTCTGATGCTTGGTGTGCCAGGAGGAGGGTGACCTAGACATCACAGCAGTCTCGGTATTCACGTGCCCCCATTGGTTTATTTATTTATTTTTTTCCTCCTTTTGGTACTGGGGATTGAACCCTGGGCTGCTCTACCACTGAGCTACATCCCTAGCCCTTTTTATTTTATTTTGAGATAGGATCTCGCTAAGTTGCCCAGGCTGGACTTGAACTTGTGATCCTCCTGCCTCGGCCTCCCAGGTAATAGTGGGATTTTACACATGTGCCACCATGCCCAGCTGCTTTGTGTTTTGTTTGCAATAATTTCTCCCTGCTGTTATTGGGAAACATCACTTTTAATGAGTGCCTAATGATCTGTTGACTGAGAAAATCAAAGCTGACTTAATCATCTCCTAGCCTGGTCACACAGATTTGGGCTTAAATTGTTATAAATAATGCCATGAGAAAAAAATAAAAACTAACAAAAGAACAGTGATGGCATAGTAAGTGCTTTTTTCCACTTAGGACCTGTAGGTGGTGTCCCAGGTGCAGAGTTCCATGTTGCTGAGCACCTGCCCCTGGTCCGGGCCTTGAAGACACTGCAGCAGTGTGGACAGAGGGCTGCCCTGGCCACCAGCAGCTGACAGGTAGGTTCTTACTCTTGCCGGCTCACTGAGAGAGAAGAGGTGTATTGTAACCTAGTGTCCGTGGTCTCTGTGAAAGAAGGAGGTGCTAGAGAGCATACAGGCACTGGTTTGGCCCTAGACTACAGTGTGGGACCTGGAGTGTGTCACTCAAGCACCTTGCGCCTCATTCTCCAGTGTGAAATGGGGTGCTGATGGTGCTCAACCCCAGAGGGTCTCCAGAAATCAGTGATTTGATGCATGAAGGTCTAAGTACAGGGCTGGTTCATACTGAAGGTTAACAAATGCTAACTCTCAGCAAGGCGCAGTGGCACACATCTGTGAGACCAGCTACTCAGGAGGTTGAGGCAGGAGGATCACAAGATTAAGGCTAGCCTCTATCTCAAAAATTTAAATAAGGGTTTGGGATGTAGTTCAGTGGTAGAGCACCCCTAGGTTCAATCCCTGGTACCACCAAAGAAAGAAAAAAAGACTAGTCTTCTCACACATTTGTGTTCTTAAGTGCTCATTCACATGTGTGGAGGGGTGCCCTGCATGTTTCTCCCAAGAAAAGATGAGAGCAGAATTTTTAAAGATCACCATGGAGAAGAGCACATGGCAAGGTGGTTTTTTTTGTTTTTGTTTTTTAATACAGTTGGATTTTTATTTATTTATTGGGGGGGGATGCCAGGGATTGAACTTGGGGGCACTTGGCCACTGAGCCACATCCCCAGCCCTATTTTGTGTTTTATTTAGAGGCAGGGTCTCACCGAGTGGCTTAGCGTTTCACTTTTGCTGAGGCTGGCTTAGAACTCGTGATCCTCCTGCCTCAGCCTCCCGAGCCTCTGGGATTACAGGCCCTGCACCAACTCGCCCAGCAGATTTTTTTTTTTTTTTAATTATGGTTCATGGTTATGAGAAAAATCACCCACCCAACCCCAAATCAGTCAGCGTCCTCTCTTACCATCTTTCTGGCACAGACAGACAGGTGAGCTCATTTCCTTTTTTCTGAGGCAACCAGGACAACACCAAGCACCAAGACCAGGTGATGCAGGTGGACTCTGCTGTTTTGTTGTTTAAATGAAACTCACCGTCCAGGAAAAGAAATCCCTAATCGCCCAAGTCGAAGCCAAAACAGTGGAAGTGACAGGGCTCCTGGAGCTCAGTGCCCCTGAGAGCCACTGGGACAGCGGAGGCCTCAGAGGCCCCAGAGGCCACAGGGTGCTGGCGGGAGCAGAGCCAGGGCCAGTGAGCCAAAATCAGAAAGGGAGAATGAAGCCAGAGAGGCTAAGGGACTGAAGGGGGGCTGTGAGAGCGCGATTGGGGTCGGTGTGGCTGAGGGAGAGGACAGGTGAACCGTTGGTCGGGTCGTGGTTTGGATATGAGTTGACAGAGCTCATGTGTGTCAGCGCCAGTAGGCCTCAAGGTGAGTGGCTGTGACCTAATCAGCAGCGATCCATGATGGAGCCTCACTGGCAGGTGGGGCGGGCCGGGGTCCTGGAGCTGCCTCAGGGTTGTCGAGCAGAGCCTCTGCTGCCTGCTGCCCTCTTCCCAGCTGCGTCCCTCAGCCACACTCCTGCCGGCTTACCTCAGGCCCATGGAATGGACTCAGCCACCTACAGACTGACACCTTTCGAACCCTGAGCCCCAAAATAAACTTATTCCTCCGAAATTATTCTATTTTTAGTTGGGGATGGACACAACACCTTTTTTTTTTATTTATTTATTTAATGTAAAAATTTTTTTAGACATTGATGACCTTTATTTTATTCATTTACTTATGGGTGGTGCTGAGAATTGAACCCAGTGCCTCACACGTGCCAGGCAAGCGCCCTACCACTGAGCCACAGCCCTAGTCCCCAAAATCATTCTTGTGGGGTCTTTGGGTCACAGCAGTGAAAAAGCTACTAAAACAAGTAGTAAGAGGGGAGACAAGTTCAGATTTGAGAACACAAAAGATGAGAACCACCACATAGACCGCACACAGGCAGAAGCCCAGAGAAGCAGCCAGGCTCCGAAGACAGTGTACCAAGCCACTTGTGGAGGAGTCCCCCGCAGAGTCCCGTCACGCCCAAGGAGATGGTCAGTGGCTTACATTCTTCCCAAAAGAATCCAAATTCAGGAAACCCCAACTCCAGTTATACGCGATGGAAAAACGGGAAATAGTGGGGTACACACGTGTAATTCCAGCAACTTGGGAGGGTGAGGCAGAAGGATTGTGAGTTCAAGTCCAGCCTTAGTAAGACCCTGCCTGAAAATATGTAGTTGAGTGGGAGACAGACAGGAGCTGGAAGAAACATCCCTTTATTTTATGGGACAGATATAACTTTGAAATCCAAGTTACAGCTCTGTTTCTGTGTCACATACATAGACATAGAAATCCTAAACAAAACCCTAGCAAGCAAAGTTCAGTGGAACGTACAATGTAGCATGACCAAATCAGGTTTACTTCAGGAAGGCAGATTTTGTTCAAGGTTGATGTAGTGGGACTGGCAATGTAGCTCGATGGCAGAGTGCTTGCCTAGCATTTGTGAAGCCCAGCTTCTATCCCCAGTACTGCAAAAGAAAGAAAGAAACTCTGATCATCATGATTGACAGGTAATGTCACTGTGTACACAGAAATCTGAAAATCATCACAGAACTACTGGATTTATTAAGACTTTAGTAAGGTCATGTAGAAGATCAATGTTATAAAAGTTAGTTGAAATTAAGACCAAAGAGAATAGAAAGCAGAGGTGTAAATGGACATCACTGTATAATGTTGATAGCAGCATCATTTACAGCAACCTAGGAAAGATGTAAAAACAAAAGTGTGAGACTTACGTAGAAATTTTACATGTCCTTTAAGTAAATAATCTAAATAAATTAGGAAACTGTATCACAACACTGACAGTCCTAAAATTATAAAGACATTATCTCTCCCTCAAATTAATTTAGAATGCCAATCTAATTACGTTTCCAGCTAGGTTGTATGCAGAGCCCAAGTGATTCAGAATTGTGTGTGCAAGACGGCTGAAGAAGGGCCAGGTGGGGTCCTGGGGAACCTGCCCTGCCACAGCCAGAGCTTCTCAGCTTGGCAGCAATCAGGCGTGGGGACTCGGGGGGGGGCCTCACAGCAAAGGCAGGGCCTAGACCCAAAGCGTCCCCAGACCTTCGAGGTTAGCAAGAAGCAAGCACCTGTTGTGTCGGGACCCAACTGAAGCCTCTGGCTGACACCAGGTACTCACCCTGACTGCTGCTGCAGCAGGTGACACCTTCCCAACCAGGGGGCACTTTTTTTTTTTTTTTTTTTAGGAAAAGGCAAGTAGCAATTAGAAAGCAGACAGAAGACAGGCATTTCACAGAAAAAAAAAACGTGAACAGCTCATAAGTCTATGAAAAGATCTTGATCTCAATAAGGAATACAAGATGGGACGGCAGGGAGATAACAGATTCAATAAAATGTTTGAGTCTCCTCATCCACTCAGGAAACAAGATAAGCCAAGGAACTGTCTTCTGTACTGTTGGAGTGTCCCAAGGTCAACAACTTTGGGGAACAGTCTGATGTTTCCCTGCCAGTTGAAGGTCTGCACCCCATTAACCCAGAGACTTCACTTATTTATTGCCTCAGAGAAACTTTGTACATCTGCCCAAGGAGATGGTTGTAGCATGCAGTGGTGGTCACGGTGTGCTGTGTCACAACCTGGAAGTCCCCATGTGTCACTAGTGCTGCCGTGCAAGAGTTTCCATGGGCTCAGGGGCGTCCACAGGAACAAGGCAGCTGCAGGGTGCACTGGGACATGATCCTGGGCAGAGAAATTAATCCAGAAGCCGAGAGTGTGCTGTGGGGCTGTGAGTGGCAAAGCACAGGAGCGCTAGAGGTGCTGAGAATGGGCGGGGGTGGCTGTCAAGTCATTCCACTCCCAGCCCCAAGTCTTCGAAGCAGCAGGCGCTTCCTGCACGAGAGTGCCACCCGTCTGGACCCATGTTGCCCATCCCCCTTCGCCTTCTCTGAGCCCCTCCACCAGCTCCTAGCATCTCTACTCCCGCTTGGCAGCACCTCTGCTCGCTCAGTCGGCTTTCTCCCAGCCAAGGGACAAGGCAGGAACTCCACCTCTTCCCTTCACTCCTGTTATTTCTCATCCTTTCCAGGCCGCTGGAGAGGACCGTCCCAGCAAGGTGTCCTGAGGAAAGGACCCTGGAACCAACAGGCAAGACCCCGTGTTCCTGCATTCAGAGGGGAGTAGAGAGGACCAGTGTCCACATGCAGCTCCTCTGGCCATCCAGGCTGAGGCTTGTACAATAGAGAGGGCCTCTGGGGACATGTAGGAAGAAAGCCAGGCGGCGGGTAGGGACGAGCAGAGAGGCCCTGTCGACACAGCCGCTCCGCAGGGCTCTTGGTGCCCATACTGCACACCGCTCAGCCACATCAGGCAGCTGCCCACCAGGGACAGTCCTTGCTCGCTGTCAGCTGCCAGCCATTGCGGGGGCGCTCTTCATACCAACTCCATGCTCAGAACCCTCTGGACACCTGAGAAAAGTCCTGAGAGAAACGGGACAGTCCTTGAGCCATGTGACAGGGCTCCCTCACAGGAAAACGATCGACAAAAGCCAGGAGCTGGAGGAGCCCACCTAGGCAGTGCCACTATAACCATCACGTCCAGCAGGCAGCACCCATGCCAGGCCCTGTGGGGAAGCATGGCCTGCAGGTTGCAGCTAGGCCTTGCCCACAGAGAGGCTCTGCCAGGGACCCAACATCACGAATCCAGACCCGGTGTTCTGGTAGCTGCTTTTCTCTCCCTGAAGCCTTCTCTGGCACACAGGTGGGCAGGCTGGCCAGCAGCATGGCCTTGGCCTGTCTGCCTGCATTTTCTGACTCCCAGTTATACCTGGGCACCATTCCCTGTATCTCAGATCTGTCCCAGTTTGGGCACAAGATAAACTCATTTCCTTCCTGTGCCAGTGAGCTCAGACACCAAGACACTGTGGAGGAAGGCAGGACTGCGGGTGTGGGGAGAGCCAGGTGCTCGGGAGCATGGGGTAGGCTCCAGGTGAGGAGCTGGGCCCACACACTGCCGCTGTCTGCAGACAGCAGATGGCTCTGGGCCTGTGTTTGCCAGAGCCTCATACCTAGAACTTGGCCCCTGCCTCCTCCTGGTGTCCTCCTCCTGAACACCAGGTACGTGTTCAGCTCATGGAGGACAGGCAGGCCGTCCTCATCTTGGCTGCACCCCAGGACTTGTGCTTGTCTGTGGTGCAGCTCCAGCTGATGCCAAAGTGGCACAGGGAGAACCTCTGGGACCAGCAAGGGTCCCTGGGCTTCTGTAAGCAGCACCCATGCCAGGCCCTGTGCAGCCTCACCTCAGCCACCTGTGGGCTCATCTGAGTGTTTGCACCTCTTTGTTTTCCTGCATGTGGGACTCCTGGTGCAGCTGGAGGCAAGTATCATAGGACTCTTCTGTTCTGTCGGGGGCAACACCCTGTGCACCTTAGTGACCCATGTACTGCTGTTAACAGTCATGTTCTGGCCTCTTGTGCTGTGGCAGATACTCTCCCTAGTCCAATTTTTCCCACTATAATTTGTATTGTCCAAAAATTTAACTCTCCAGCTAGCCAGAGTCGCTCCACGTGTCTTCAACCTTGGGGTGAAACTGTTTGCGGCTTCTGTGACTCACTCTGTCCTTGGCTCCCTCCACCCTGAGGGCTGCCTTGCGGGGCCACCACAGCTCTGGTCACCAAGCCTGCCTGTCCCTGCTGCTCATGGACATGTGTCCTCCTGGAGTGGACGTCTGCCTCCAGCCCGTCTGCTGTGTTCCATTGTGCCTCCTGCAGTTTGGGGTGTGCTCAAGATTCCTTCAAGGAGGAGGCCACTGGCTTCCTCTCCAGGGAAAGTGAGGATGCCCCTTCCCAGGTCTCCCCAGTACAGGGTGGGACCCCAGCAGGCCACTGCCCCCAGTGAAAGTCTTTAGGATGCTCCCATTAACCAAACTCCTGAGAACCTGACACACACGAGAAAACGAATCACTGCCTTGTAATGGGATTGCCCCTTCCCAGAGACAGAATACCACCCGCCCTTCTGGCTCCAGGCAGCTGGGAGGGAGGCTAGTTGGAGTTTGGTCAGTTGTGCATCACCTGCAGTCAGGACTTCAGGGAAGCCTGGGAGGTGTTCTGGGCTCCCCCCTGGCACCCTGTCATCCCCAGCCCCCCTCCCTGAATTCCAGATAACATGCAGACCCATGTGTCCTTGCTCACACATCCTTCATTTTGGGCTATAGTTCTCAGCAAGGGGCAATTCTGACATCAGGGAACACTTGGCAATGTGGGGACAACTTTGTCAATGACTGGGAGGACCTGGTGGGTGAAGGGCAGGGATGCTACTGAGCATCCTGCGCATACAGGCCAGCCCCCAAGATGGCTAACAAGAGGTACATGTACCCCAAAGGACAGTGGGCCCCAGGGCCAGGAGCTGTGGCAGGCTGAGGGATAGTCCACAAGCCCACGCAGCAGCCAAGAGCAGCTGAGGTGTGTTTGGTTTGGGTACTAGGAGTTGAACCTAGGGTGCTTTATCACTGAGCTACAAACCCAACACTTTATTTTGACGTTCTCAGATTGGCCAGGCTGGCCTTGAACTTGATGATTCTCCTGCTTCGGCCTTTTAAGTCCTGGGATTCGCCAACATGTGCAGCCACACTCATCTCTCCTGCTCTTTTTCTTTTTGAGTAAAGGGCATTTTATTCAGTAAATAATGCAATTTGGATATTTACATTGATTATGAAACTTTACCAGTTCCAGGTTTATTTAACTGGCCAGAAAGGCAGCCAAGGTTTAGTGTCCCACTGAGAGAGCACACCAGGGGCCAGAGCCCGACTCAGCCTGCAGTGCCAACCTCGAAGTCACCACAGCTGCCCTGTCCAACCACTACTGCACTCCAGGGGGCCTGGTCGCCTGCTCCACCTTCTCCCCACCAGCAGTATTTGCCACCTCCAAAGTCAGTGTCCAGCTGGAGCCAGCACAGGCCTCCTAAGGCACGATGGGCAGCCCCCAGGACCACTGGGGTCAGGACCCCAGAGGAAGGGGTCCTGAAGTCTGTGTGACTTCAGCAGGACCAAGGAGGGGGACAATCAGTCTGCAGCCCACTCTCCTGCTCAGGAACTGAACCCACATGAGGATCTTGAGTTGTCCCAGGCTTGCTGTCCACCAGGGCCCTGGTGGTCCTGTTTAGAGGACTCCTCCTCCCCAGCTGCAGGTCAATCTCTCAGCTCTTGTCCTGGACACCACCTTGTCACAGGAGAGTAAGGAGCAGGAGCTCCAAACCTCAGTTCTGTGTCCTGGCGAAAGAAAATCTAAAGTCAGACATGAAAAGCTAAGCACAGGAATGTTATGAGTGATTCGTAAGTAGATAAAGATGGTGAACAAATGACCCTCCAGATTCTGGATATACCTTCTAAAAGGAGATGGTGAGGGCTGGGGTTGTGGCCCAACAGTAGAGCGCTTGCCTCACCCTGGGTTCGATCCTCACATACAAATAATTAATTAATAATAAAAAAAAAAAAAGGAGATGGTGATAATGCTCAGGTGTATGCCATAAGACAAAAGCCGAAATGGTGGAGATGGTCTTACTGCCTCTGCAGCGACTTTGCTCAAAAGGATGTTACAGGGGCTGGGGATGTGGCTCAAGTGGTAGCGTGCTCGCCTGGCATGCATGCGGCCCGGGTTCGATCCTCAGCACCACATACAAACAAAGATGTTGTGTCCGCCGAGAACTAAAAAGTAAATATTAAAAAAATTCAAAAAAAAGACTATATTTAAAAAAAGGATGCTACAAGAGGCAAGAGAGTATCAGCTTGTGTGCCAGCTAGAAAACACAAGGTGCCACTGCAGTCGCCAACTGCATGAAAAGCTGAACAAATGCAACAAGCTGACCCAAGCAGACAGAGCATGGGCGTGACATATAAAGGAATGGTGCCCAGAGAAATCCAAGGCAAGATTTCAGAGGCTAAATTGGACATAATCTCAGCCAAAGCCTGAAGATGAACAAGGTGAAATTGAAATACCTGTCCTGTAGGTGGGTGGCGCTGGTCCCAGTCGAGCTTGAACTCCAAATCTAGTTCTGGAGTCGGAAGAAAATTTTAAAGTCAGACACGAAAAGCCAAGCAAGAGGAATGTATTACGAGTGAAAGCTAAGAAGGGCTCGAGCAGAGAGCACCCCCAGGGCAGAGAGCGCCCGAGTCAACACTGCACTGCGGCTTCCCGTGCTTGCCCGGAGAGCTGGGGTCCACCGGTGCAGTCCTCGCCGTCAGCCGGTTAGCTCCTCCTGGGTGTCAGGCGGGGAGGTTTGGACCCTAGCTGGTCCTCTGCGGAACTGCCACGGCCACACCGCCTTCAGGGGCCTCCCGGAGAGTGGGCTGGGTGCTGGGCTCGGTGCGCTACGGAAGAGCCCCTCCTCACGAGTTACCGCGCTGCTCTCGAGCCGTCAGGGCAACTCGCAGTCCCCGCGACGCCGCCCAGCACCCCGCGTGCGCGCCTGCTCTCGCGGCGGGAGTCGAGGGGCCGCGGTGGGAAGGCCACCGAGGCGCGGACCTCCGGCGCCCAGAGCGCCCCGGAAGCGCGCGGGCGGGCCGACGAGGCAGTTCCGGTCGGCGCAGGCGGCCCCCTCCCGCTCGGAAGGTGAGTGGGCGCCGGTCCGCTGGGTCCGCCCGGCCCGCGACGTCCCGCGCGGTGACTGCGGCCGTCGCTGCACGCGGCCCCAAGGCGGCGCGGGGAGCAGCCCGGGTCGGGCGCGGGAGGAGGACGGGGCCAGCGCAGGCCACGCCCGCTGCCCTCGGCGCCCGCTGCCCGCTCCTGCAGAAGGCGCGTTGCTGCAGACCTCCCGCGCCGCAGTGTGGAAGAAAAACGCTCTCACGCTGGACGCGAGCCGTTCGTGCAAACCAAGTTAAGGAACAGTGTTTGGCCCCAGATGAGTCTCGGGGTGTGGCGGGCAGGCCGGACTTGGGGGTTGCCCCCTGCGGCCTGCGACTCTGCAGGGCGGGAGGAAGAGCTTCCTGGGATCTAATCTAGCACCTCCGTGCCCCAGCAGGCATGTTCAGCTTTTCACCCCCCCAGGGCCAGGAGCCCCCGGATATGGTACAGGAGGTTCCCCTGGAAGTGTCAGCATGCTCTTATGGTGGGTGAAGCCTCGGGTTGGAAGGACATTCAGGATCCTTTGCTGAAGAACTTGGGGTCAGTCCCTGCAGGTCTGCTGGTGCTGTCCAGGTGACGTCCTAATAGGATTTCACATTGAACAAAACATCCCAGGTCCTTGAATCGCCTCCTACCACAAGCTGGGCACCTCTCCACTTGCCCTTACCTCTTGGCATCCTTGTGTTCCTGAATGAGGAACACTGTGTCATATGGGGCTGCTTAGGACCTGGTGTGTTGTCCCCTCTCCCCACAGACTTCTCCACCACCCTCATCTGCCTTGATTTTCATTTTCTTCAGGTCCCAGGTGCACACACCTTCAGGAAGTCTCTGGAAGATGGCGGCTCTAGGAGCTGTTGAGGAAGTTCTTCCTGTCCCATCTCCCATCAGTCTGTCATCATCAGGGACACCTGGAGCCCGGCACCACACAGCACAGCTTCACCTCCACAGTCATCCACACGGTACTCATCTGGCCCACTGTGTTCCCTCTGCCCTACCTCCACACTATGGAGCCCCCATCTGACCCAGCAACCCAGCTGGCTGAGAGGCAGCAGCAGACAGTTGTGCAGCTTCTTGGAGGCAGGGGCCTGAGAGGCAGCGCTAGGTCAGGACTCAGCCGTGGGAGGAGACCAAACCCATGTCTGGCTTCCTAGGAAAAAGCCCCTGGGACCATGGGACCATTTCTTCCCTGGTGTAGAAAGAATAGCCTCAGAATCTGGGTCTGGTGTGAGCAGGAGTGAGCCAGCACCCCCAGCCCTGTCTGAAGCTGTGTTCCCAAGCAGGAGAAGAGAGCCCAGAGTTGTTGCTAGGCTGCTTTGGGTATGGAACCTGTGGGACCTGCAGGGATGGAGCCATTGGCCTTGGTTTTACCCACAGTGTGTGTCTTTACTGGTCACAAGTAAGGAGCAGGCAGGGTGCACTGTGCCCCTGGCACACCTGGCTCTTGGGTCATGGTGTCCTGAGGCTTCCTCTCTGTGTTGGATAGCCAGGCTCAGTGCTCCTAAGAGCCTGAGCCATTGACGGCAAAGACAAGGTCCCTCGTAAGGTATGTCCTGGCAGCCTGCACCTATGTTTAGAAGCTGGTGAAAGGTCCAGGAAAACAGCCTTCCTGGTGCCCAAGGTTCTCAGTCTTGGCTGTTCTTGTTAGTCTGTCTACTGGCATAGTGACGCTGAGGCTTGTGGAGCATGACTGCTGTACCAGGTCTAGGATGACCTTTTCAAAGCCCAGCCACAGCCTTTCACATGCACACTCACAGATAAGGACAGAGAGAACACCAATAGCCAGGAAATCACATGGTGCAGCACAGGCCAAAATGGGAGTCGTGAGCTCTGCGTCTGCTGCCTGACGGCAGGACCTTTTGCCCCTGCCCATCCCCAGGAGATTGCTGGGAAAGTACTTCTTTGGAGCACCTTGCAGTGGTTCCTGTGAACTAGGTGGAATGTCTGGAAGGACCTCAGACTCATTCTGTGCCGAGCCTTGTGGGGCCACCCCTACCACCATCTCTTTCTCCTCTCCAGTGGTTTCTGGACCTTCAAGGGCCCCTGGCCTGTGCCCAGGGCCTGCGTCTCAGAGCCCAGAGCTGAGCCCCTTTGCCATCTGGTTTCTCAGGAGTGCTCCAAGGCCCACAGATCCCTGACAGACCCCAGTGTTTCCAGAACCTGCCCAGGGTTCCCCTGCCAGTTAGAATTCGAGCCAGAACTTCCTAGAGCCAATCCTTCCAGCTTCCAAGTCAGAGTCTGAGATGAGCCAGAGGAAGCCCACCCAGGAGCCCTGAGTCCCAGTGATCGTCAGAAGCCCACCCCATACCCAGTCACTCCTAGAGACTCTCTGGCTGGGCTCATACTGGGCACTTGGTGTCCTTGCAAGAGGAGCTGGCTCCTTCCTCCTCAGAGGAAATGAAGGATGCAGGGGGCTCATCATTAAGCAGGGTGCTCAGCTGTCCCTGTGGGCAGCAGGCTGAGATCCTGTGTCCGAAGCTGAGACCACCTCCTGGCTGGTCCCAGCCTCTTAGAGCAGGCTAGGAAGCAGGTGTAGGACATAGTTGTTCTTCTCCCAGGACCTCTGTGTTCCTACATAGACACAGGTCAGGGGCCATGGCCAGTTTTGGGGTGCTGAGGGTCTGACACAGCTCCTCAGGGTCTGTGTTGTATCAATATAGGGGCAGTGGAGGGCAGTGGGGCCTTCTGATGGGGGCATGGGAAGGAGGCCAGGCCAGAGACTGCCCAGCTTTTGTCTGCTTACAGAGCAAGGGAGGGTAAGTCCCAAAGCCAGGTTCTCAGGACGGCTTCCTGGGGCAGCTCTTGACCAAGCCGGGGAGGAGGAGAAAGGGTACTCCTGGCTGGGGAGGCTCCTGGCAGTGGCACGGAGTCAAGCTGCCCTGCTCTTCTAGAGGTGCTGGGGAGGTGTATCCGTGGCAGTGGAGGAGGTGGTGCTGTGTGTTAAGGGCTTGGCCCAGGAGCACGTGGCATCCTGTAGGTGCCCTGGGCAAGTGGGGCTGATTCCAGGGGAGGCAGCACTCTGGAGGGTGGGGCCTGAGCCATAGCCCCCAACCCCTAGGCTCTCCCAGCTCCAACCCTGAGGTGCTCTCCCAGCCATCAGAACTGGATCTCCAAGACCTAGAGGAAGTGGAGATCGGCAGAGACACCTGGCTTGGTGAGTGAGGACCACTGCCCACCCTACCCTGGCACACTGAGCACGTTTCCCATTGCCCTGGAGCTCCTGAGCACCAGGCTCTGGGTATTCCCACTGCTGTGGCTGGCGGCTGCTGTCTGAGGTTGGGCAGCTGCTTCCAGGGAGTTGGGCTACAGTACAGTTGTCACTGAGGCCACCGCCACCCCATGGAGCTCTCTGAGCAGGTATGAGCTCATTGGATCTTACCCATCTGGCATGGCAGGCTTCAAGAGAGGCTTGTTTCTTGTCCCTCAGTACTTGAGCCCAAAGGATCAAAGTTCCAGATCCTTGCCAGTCCTTAATGTCAACCCTCAGGCCACCTCCTCCCAGCTCAGAGTAGACATGCAGGTCTCGTTAACCACTGTGTCCTCGTAGACAGCCAAGGCCCCGTACACATGCTCAGGTCACCATCTGACAGAGCCCAGCTGCCCCCCACCGTATGTTTCATCTCAGCTGTTTGGGGCAGAACACCTTGGCCACTGTTCGGGGCCTCCTTCCACCTCACCAGTCCCAAGTCAGGCTTGCCCCCCCAGGTTCTGGTCTTACTTGGTCCCAGTCCCTAGAATGCCGCAGTGGGGCTGGAGCTGGGTACCATCTGTCTGCCGTCTCTCCTTTCAGACTCAGAGGCAGAGCCTGGGCAGGCTCCATCATCTCCCCACCAGCATGTTTCTGAAGACAGGGTGGACCCAGAGGGAGGGGCACTGAGGGGCCTCCTGAGGAACTCTCCCCACAGGCCCAAGTGTGGGGAGAGCTTTGGGCAGGAGTCCAGCCTGGAGCGGCCAGCAGACCAGCCTCCAGGGCCCATGCCCTGCACCCTGAGGAGGAGTGCCTGGTGCCTGGCACTCCTGTCGCAGGGAGCTTCAGAGACCGAGGGCAGCCCTGAACAGGCTCCAGAGCTGGGGTGCAGCTTGGGTCCCAGTCCACCACAGGCCAGTGCACGCGGCACCAAGCCGCACCGCTGCGAAGCCTGTGGCAAGAGCTTCAAGTACAACTCGCTGCTGCTGAAGCACCAGCGCATCCACACAGGTGAGAAGCCCTATGCCTGCCACGAGTGCGGCAAGCGCTTCCGTGGCTGGTCGGGCTTCATCCAGCACCACCGCATCCACACCGGGGAGAAGCCCTACGAGTGTGGCCAGTGCGGCCGCGCCTTCAGCCACAGCTCACACTTTACGCAGCACTTGCGCATCCACAACGGCGAGAAGCCCTACAAGTGCCGCGAGTGTGGCCAGGCCTTCAGCCAGAGCTCCAACCTGGTGCGCCACCAGCGGCTGCACACGGGCGAGAGGCCCTACGCCTGCAGCCAGTGTGGCAAGGCCTTCATCTGGAGCTCCGTGCTCATTGAGCACCAGCGCATCCACACGGGCGAGAAGCCCTACGAGTGCGCCGACTGCGGCAAGGCCTTCCGCGGCCGCTCGCACTTCTTCAGGCACCTACGGACCCACACCGGCGAGAAGCCTTTCGCGTGTGGTGCCTGCGGCAAGGCATTCGGCCAGAGCTCGCAGCTCATCCAGCACCAGAGGGTGCACTACCGCGAGTAGCCACAGCCTGGCCTGCAGTAAATCCTGTGTGTGGAAACAGGAGCTGGCTTCTGCTGGGCGAGGTGGGCTGCTTCCCGACCTGAAGGCCACCAAGGGGGAGGGCCTGAGGCCAGGAGCCGGCCTGACCCTTCCAGAGCCTTGCCATGGAGCCGTCAGACCTGCCCAGCACCGGATGGGGACCAGTGGCAGCACCTGGAGCAGGCGGGGCGGACGGGGGGCTGCCTTCCAGGCTCCTGCGTTCCTCCAGCAGCCTGTGGCCTGGCCCAGGCTTCCTGTCGACCCTGGGCACAGGGTCTGCGGCAGCTGGGTCTCCTCATGGCAGGTCTCCCCGCACAGCCCTCAGGCCTGTCCGTTGTCTCCTCCTTGCTCTTCCATTTAGGGCTTGCAAGGTCAGCAGGCTTCCATGAGAGGACCTCCCCGACCTGTGTTCTCCCTACCTGCCTCCCATGCTGCTCCTGCTCTGACAAGGTGGGGACCTTGAGTTGTCGGGGCTGGACAGGTGTGCAGAGGGGTCAGGATTTTGTCCTCTGAAGATCTTCCCAGAGAGTCCTGTGGAGGGAAGGGCAGAGCCCGGTGCAGAGGGCAGGCTCCAAGCAGCCAGGGTTCCGGGCACCTTTCCTGCCCAGCTGTTCCCTCCAGAGCAGCTGAGGGACAGCAGACTCCTCCCAAGACTGCAGTGCCCAAGTGTGACCTCCCTGGCCCTCCCCACTGCTGGGCTTGCCCAGGGTTCCTGCTGGCAGGTCCCCGTGGTGGCTGGGAGGCACTACCCTGCTGCACTGGTGGTGTGCTTTGTGGCTGTCATCAGCCCTTGGCCAGCCTGCTTCCCAGGGGACACGGAAGTTATGAGGTGACGCATGGCTTCCTGCATGTCACAAGCAGTGACCCATCTCAAGTCTCCTGATGGGTCACACAGCCCTCTGCAGCCCCTTGAGGAAGGCACCTGTGGCCACCAAGTGCTGTTTGCCCCCACCCTGTGTCCCCATGCCAACTGAGAGCCAATCTAGAGGTGAGAGCTAGAGGTTAGGCTGTTGCCTGCCTCCCCCGCCCCTCAGGGATACGTGGGCAGCGCGAGACTCTGCAGGCAGCCCAGCAGCCTCATCACCAAGGACGGGCTCCATTGGCAGTAATGGAACCCAGCAGCATCTAGGGAAGGTCCTATGGTGCTCCAGGGGTCCCAGCCTCCTGGAAGTGGCCTTCAGGCACCTTGTGGGGCAGGGCCAGGTGCCCCAGAACTAGCTGTGGGTGCTAGTGGCTGGCAGGGCAGCTCTTCTGTGATGGGTCTAAACCTTTGCTGAGGCAAAGTCACTGTTGTCCCTTGCTGGGCAGGACCACCAAGATGAGCTGAAGTGGAATTTGCATCTCCCGTGGTACCCTTTTTCCTCCAATCCCTGGCAGTCAGCAGATTCCCAGATGTTCCACCTGATCTCCACCCAATGTTTCCAGGAAATTCAGTGGTAGGGGTCAGGCATGGCTCCTCAGGACCGTTCTACTTACCCTTGCCCATCCCCATCAGCATTCACTTGATTAGGGCACTTATCTCCTGTGCCCCAGAGGAACCTGGGCACCATCTCCCCTCAGTTATTCCTGCCTTGCAGGAGGTATCTTGTCTGGGCCAGCCTGTGAAGGGCTCCTGCAGTGGCTGTTTCCAAACTCCAGAAGTGACCATTTCTGTGAGCACAGCGTCTGCATTTGGTCCCAGAGAAAGGGGCCCTAGAGGGACACTTGAGCCATCAGGTCCTGGAGCTGCCAGAAAGGATTTTGTGAGGCAGTTTCCAGGGATTGCAGGCAAGGGGAGGGAGGGCTGTGAGCTGATGAATCCTAGATGGAACCACTTGGTTTTAGAGTATGAGGATCTGCCCCAGGTGCCGTGAGACAAGAGGCAGATATATCCAGGGTCACGCTGCGTTTTATTGTGGAACTTACTGACAAAGGCAAAGTTGTGATAAGATCCATTGCATTCTCAAAGTTTGGATCAGAAAGGGACATATATATGAATCAGGACCAAAGTAACCTCATCCTGGCTGAATTGTACCTGGTTTATCTTAATATGGAAGAGTTGGGTACATCCCTGGAGTCGGGGTCTAACCTTGTGCATTGTTTGCTAGTTGGTGAGTGCAAAACCACTAAGCACCACCAGGAGGAAGAGTAGAAAGGCATATTACTTGAAGTCAGGAGAACACGAGATAATTCTCAAAGCAGTGTGCCCCCCCCCAAAAAAAACAAAGCAATGGGCTTTTATTGGGGAAATGGGCATATTCCCCTAGGAGGCTCATCACTTGTAGAGGTGGGCACACTGCTGGGAATGCTCAGTTTGAGGTCACAGCATAGCCTTTAAAAAAAAAAAAAACCCCAGCTGGTGATGCCTCTGGGCAGAGAATTCAGTATTACAATGAGCAGAGTTCACTCCAGGTCACCTAGACTCCGTGGTCAGCAGCTTGCACTGGTTCCTTGTGAGTTGCTCTGGAGAGTTTGGTCTGGAACAAAACACCTCTGATGGAGCATTAAGTCACTTAAGGGGCGGCTTCTCCTTTCCTCCAGGAAGCCTAGGCGTTTGTCCCCAACTGTACCAGCCCAGTGCTAACAGTATGATTCTGTGGCTTGTCTATCACAGTTTGCTGGGGAACTGTGCAGGAAAAACCAATTAGGGTTACTCTGGGGCAATTGTGGGGGTAGACTCAAGATGGGTGTAGTCAAGCTGAATCTACCCAGGCTGCACGTGGCTGTGGCAAAAAGGGTCAATCCTGGGTTTGGAGACTGCTGTTGGACACAAGGGTTTGGTTTTTACATAAACATACCTGTATGGTCAATGGATAAGAAAATCAACTGTGGAACTTAAAGGACAGCTCTACTCTTATCTGTGTAAAATGAGGTTAATTTCTCTGAACCTGTTTCCTGGTTAGTAATATGATGAAGTCGGGTTTTCAGTGTTTTGAGAGCCCTTGGGTAAGTTGGGACTTCAGTCGCAAAGCAGTTAGCAACCCTGCCCTTCAAGGGGATAGAGGAGGCCAGATCCTGGTGTTGACCAGGTACCCCTCACGGGATACTTCCTTCATCTGGTAGGTAGCCTTGTGTTTAGCTGTGGACCTGTACCAAGGTTTCCTCACTTGGGAGCGTGTCTATGCTGGCAGACACCTGAGTGGCTCTTGTCTGACCCATTTTGTGGAAGGCAATCCATCTTTGCCCCCGCGGTTCCTTTCTAAGTACTCCGCTCCTGCAGCTGGTCCGACTGTGCCTAGCCTGGGTTCATTGCTGGACGCTCACGTTCCCACCCCAGTCCCGGCCAGCACCCCCTCTCTCCTGGACCACAGCCTCAACCCAGAGTTGGATTCCCTTTTTCTTCCCACCTACAAGCACAAAGGCCTTGACGCCCCCCACTTCCCGCAAGCCCTTATGGCCTGTAGGTCCCCTTGCTTGCCCCGTCTGTGCCCCACCGCCGCATCCCCTAGCACCTCGGACAGCGCCGGGCGAGCAGCCGCGGTCCCCAGGCTGGACTTGGGAGCCAGCCTTCGGAAGTGCCTGCGGCGTGGGGCGGGGCCTGCTGGCCGCGCTTCCGTCTCAGCGGTGCGCGTGCCGCGCGCTGGAACTTGGGCCTCCGGGACCACGGAGCACCCCTCTGCCCCCGAGCCGGCCGGCCGTGCGTCCTCCGGGGCCCCTCTGGTCCCGGTCCGCCCCGCGCGCGGCGGCCAGCTGGAGCTGTGAGCGTGGGGTGTGTCCCCTGCATCAAGCCAGGGACCCACTCCGCAGGCGCGCCTTGAACGAGGCCGGTACCGTCTGGCCAGCGACACCTGGTGGCCACCGTGAAAGGAGGGAGGCTGGAGGAGTCGTGGGGAAAGCTGCGCGGCGCGTTCCTCTCCGCGAAGGCGCGTCCTGGATTGTCGGGACAGCGCTTTCTCAGTGCAGCCCACCGGGATCGCCGAGCGTCTGCCCCTGTCGCCTTCTCCTGCACACCAGTCGGGGCGAAAGGGATGCTCCTGCTGTTGCCGCCGGAAGAGACCCACCCTCCTGGACCTTGCCTGGACACGGTCTGTTGGCCAGGCAGCTAGCCGCTGCCTGCCTCCTGCGCAGTCCTGTGTCCCTTCGGAGCGCACCTGGGCTCTAAGCACAGCCCGGTGGGTGCCTTCTGAGACCCTCAGGACCTGTCCCAGGACCGGAAGTGTACATCCCAGCCAAGGGGCTCTGGCACCGGCTCTAACCTTGTCTCCCGCCTCACCTGCCCAGGGAGACCGGCCAGACTCTCCGTCAGGCAGCCAGGATCCCAGAACACCGTACTTACCTCTCCAGCCCCCTTCTTCGTCCCTCAGGCTCGAGCCCCAACCCTGCTGCCTCCCCTCACTCAGCCAGCAGCCTCCATGGGCTCTGCCAACAGCCCACCCTTGCCTGCTGCCCTACTGGGTGGGTGGGAGGTACCCCGCCACACCGCAGATCTCAGGGAGGAAAGTTGAAGTCGCATCCTTAAAAAGCACGTTTTTAGCAAATTTCTTTTCCCCAAAGCATTTGTTTGTGGTCTTTAAAGAAATTTTAGAAAATGTAAAAAGAAAGAAAAAGAATAATGGAAACCAGGAAACGTTTTTCCTTCCTGTCAGTAATTATGAAGAAGTGTTTGCCTATATTTTCAATCAGTTCTTGGTTTTAAAACGAACTCAATGCTCAACTCATCCCTAAAATAATCTTCCTGACCTGAGGTCTCAGATCTGCCAGGATCTGTCCTGGAGCCCTTGTCCCCGCCTTGTGAGGGGCTCCAGGGGGATGAGGCCCTGCACACAGCTGTGTGCTGAGCCCAGGACTGGACTCTGGAGCCCACACTGCACTCCCACCGCTGCCCTGTCCTCCCTCAGTTTGCTGTGACTGTGAGTGGATGGCGTGTTTCCACGGAGGATGCCTAGATGGGGGTCACAGGGGCAGCGGTGTGAGCAGCGTCCTCCAGGCTCCCTTTCAGTGTCCTGGAATGCCCATCCATGCTCCTTGGGAGAGACCTTTTATCCCAAATGGGAGAGCTGTTCCTAAGTGTGTCCCCAGCATGGGAAGCAGGTTTGGCCAGTTTCGCCCCAGGCATTGCCCAGGGGTGCTTCATGCATTCCAGTGCATCTGGTGCTAGCGGAGGTCTCAAAGTCAGGAGGATGCTCCAGAGAGCCTGGCTGCTTGTGGGCCGCTTTCAGAGTGTCCAGCAGTTGGTGACTTTGTCACATACCCCCCTACCCACTCTCTAATTCAGTACAGCATGCTGGCCCCAGGCAGCTGAGGTGAAAAGCACTGACTCCCAAGAGCCAGATAGCCCCCCATGGCCTGGGGGGAGGCAGGTGGGGACAGAAGTCCACCTGTGTGTTGGGGGGGCAGGGGGACTCAGTCTTGACCCGGACCCGGGCCTTGGGCGGGGCGTCGTCTGCCCGCAGACGGGCAGTGTGGTTTGGTGCAGATTCAGGCTTTCCTTGAGGTTCTCATAGGCAGCCTGTCCTGGCAGGAGAGCGGTTGCCCTGTTGCCAGTTCTGCCATGTCCCTTACAGGAGCCAGGTCTTCCCTAAGCTGTGGCCCCATGTCTTCTTTAAAATGCAGTGTCCCTCTTTCCTCACCTCTCCAGCCCACAGACCACTCTCCTGGGTCACACTAGGCCTGTGGGACATTCTCCACCTCTCCTCAGAGGCTGCCCAGGCGGCGCTGTGTCCAGCCAACTCCAGCCCAGACTTAGCAGAGAGCAGGACCACATCACCATGCCCTCTGCTCTTTCTCTTCTGTGACTTATTTTTAGGAAGAAACAAGAAGGTTCTAGAAATAGTTAGGAGCGCACTGTGCCACAGCAGCTCAGTGAGGACAAGGGGCAGGTCCCAGATGAGACACAGAGGCCGCTCCGCAGGGAGCTGAGGCACAATGCTTGCTGGTGACAAGCAGGGTGGTGGGCAGACAGGCCCACAGAGAGGTCCTTGGACAGTCCTGGGAGCAGACAGCCCGTCCCCTGCTGACTCTGTGAGGTCCTGTGCCCCGCCTGCGCCTGGCAGTCACCTCTCCTTTGGTCCTATGGCCTGCCTTTAGGCCAGGGAGCAGGAACCCACTGAGCTTTTCAGCCCTGGCACCTTTAAGGAGTGCTAAGCTGCGGTGACTTAGGCCTGTGGTCAGCATTTGGAGGTGCAGGGCTCAGGCCCTTTCCAATACCCACAAGTCCCGCCACCACTCCCTGCTGCACCCCTCCCCTGACTCGGGCAATGGCGAGGCCCTACTGAGGTGGACGGTGCAAGGTGTCCATCCTCTGGAGGAGCGCAGTATGTTTCTGGGAATGGCCTGGTTTGTTTTTGTATTCCTTTAATAAGTATAGTTGCGACCATTAAGTATGAAGGAAAAAACATGACTTTCCCAATTAATGCAACTACTTCTAAAGAATGAATCTGTTTGCTCTAAATGATTCAGCTGTGGAACTGTACATCGTTAATGTTTAATGAGAAACCCCCTGTAGGAAAAACAGTCAAGGAAGTTTTTGAGAAATTAAATTAAAATCTAGAGAAGAAGAATTCATGTTAAGAAGACAGATTAGTGCTTGGTACTGGCAACTTGTTCTTGTTCCTGTGCACAATGGTTTGATGCTCTTACTCTTGTTTGATTAAAATTAGTAGCCTCTCTTTTCAAGTTAACCACTTGCCATAACCGTGGTGCTGTTCTAGTCAATAAGTCAAGAAAGAATAGTCAAGGTATAGGCCAGTAGTCTGGACATTTCTAACTATTATTAAAAGCTAGCTAACAGAAACAGCTCAAAGCAAAACGCAAACTGAAAATAAAAATGCTTGCTTATGCATAAGCCAGGATACATTCTTCTTATCTAATTGTAGCTACGTAATATTTTGTTTCTTTGAATAATGATTTCTGTTTTGTAACCACAAAGTACTGTGAGCCTGCCAAAATGAAAAGTATGTATGATCAACTTCACAAGTAGAGATGGGGAGTCGGCACCTTCACTCTGTGTCTGTGTTGATTCTCCGCCGCCTTTCGCCATCTCTCGCAGACTCCTCGCCTCCGTTCCTCTCCTGAGACCCCCCGCCAGAGCTGGACTCCGACAGCTCCCTACAGCCCCGTCCGCGCCCCTCCGCCCCCCCCCCCCGCGTCCAGGACAAAGCGCCTAATTTCCCTTCTCCCTGCCTCTCACGAACACGGACGCTCTTGCCCCCCATGGCCCGGGCACGACCAGAGTCCGGTGACACCGCCCTGTCCCTTTCTGGTTTCAGACCGTGAGGACCAAGGAGCGCAGAGCAGGGAGGCCCGGAGCGGGCAGCGCCCCGGGGCGCCCGCGGGGGGAAGGCCAGCCCGCGCCGGCCGAGGCCTCCCCGCCGCGCCTGGGGCCAGGGCGCACGCGTGCGGCGAGTGCGGGGGGCCTTCCGCCGGAGGGCGGGCGCCGCCCAGCACCAGCGCGTCTCACGGGGAGAAGCCGAACGCGTGGGCCACTGCGGCCGCGCCTTGGCGCACAGCTCGCACTTCTCGGCACCTGCGCTCCCACGCCGGCGGGAAGCCCTTCGCGTGCCCGAGCGCGGCCAGGCCTTCAGCCAAGCTCCAGCACCGCAGGGTCCCACGGGCGAGCGCCCCTACGCGTGCCAGGACCGCGGCCGCGCCCTCAGCCGCGCCCCCTTCCTCGGCGAGCACCGCCGCACGCACACGGGCGAGAAGCCCCACGAGTGCGGCCAGTGCGGCCGCGCCTTCCGGGCGCTGTCCGGCTTCTTCCGGCACCAGAGGGTGCACGCGGGCGAGAGGCCGTTCCGCTGCTCCGAGTGGGCCGCGCCTTCCGCCTCAGCTCCCATCTGATCCAGCACCGGAGGGTGCACGGCGCGGAGTGAGCCCGGCCCGCCGCCCGCGGAGAGAACCCGAGGCTGGCCGGTGGCGCGGGGCAGCTGCGGACGGACGCTGGGTGGCAGGGGACCCGCACAGCGCCTGACACCTGCGCAGGAATTGCCCTCCTGAGATGGCTTTTGACAATGCCGGAGACCAAGTCAGGAGCTGGGCCAGAGGCGACGCGGCCTGACTTTGGACCGGCCTCAGGTGAACCATGCTTTTACACCATTTAACTGTCTGGCTTTATGTCCAGGCCTTCACCTCCCATTCCGACCCTTCACAAGAATGGCGAGAACCTACTGGGCCAGCCCGAAGCCAGGCCCAGGGGGTTCCTTGCCCCTTCCCAGCAGATGGGGAGAGAGGAAAGGCCTTGGCCCGCAGGGTTCAGAGTCACACTGCTTGGTCAAGGAGAGATGGAATTTGCAAAGGAGCCAGGTGCGGGGCATGGTGGAAGGGACAGGAGAGGGATGAGCAGGAAAGAGAGGAGACTCCTGCCCAGGGAAAAGGGCTTGAACTCTGTCCAGTGGGTGGTGCGCAGCTCACCTGAGCCACAAATCAAGATCAAACAGGAAACATCAATAACTCGGGGGGAGGACATCTCCCCAATATAGAATGTTCCATGGGGATGGGGGGAAGGGCTTCTATACTTTATAGGTCATCCCCTTTAGTTGTTTTGGTTTTATATGTGTTTTGCAACACTGCATAATTTTTTTCAAATAAATATGCAGCATATGGTGGGTATGCATCACAGATGTTCTTATTGATGCAGTAATGAGAAAGCCACAAGCACACAATGGTGAGGGATGGCAGGAGACAGGTGCAGGAGCCCAGTTCCAGGGCAGCAGGCTGCAGGTGCCTAGGGGAGCTTGCTGGGGCTGACCCAGGCTTCTGCACTGGGGATAAGTGCCCAGGGGCACTGTATCAGGGCAGGTATCCTACCTACCCGTGGCCGCTCTTTGCCCCTGCTGTGGTCCTAGGCCTACGGTCTGCATTCTCCAACTAACTCCGCATTCAGAAGCTATGACTGCATCAGAAAAGGAAAGGATCCTGGCAATGAGTGGCCTGCTTGACCACCATGGGCAAAGTGGCAGCCAAAAGGCCTGTTCACCACATTCTTCCTGGCCATCTCTCCCAGCTTGCAGCAGATTCCCACGGTCTGATTTTTGCTGAACTCATTGTGCTGGGGACACAGGAACAGCCCCTGTGGCTTCTCCACATTGACTAGGGATATCCTCAGGGGTTAAACTATTCTGTCAGACTGGGTCCTGGAATGATGTCCAAGACACAGTGCCTACTGTCTAGCCTTTACCAAAAGGCTGATCCTGTGATTGGATGAGAAGTGGGCCTCTGTAGTTTCTGGCTACTACTCTTAGCACAGCAAAGCCTGGCGGAGCAGGGGGGTCCCCCATTTCCTATATGCCAGTCCTTCCTCTCAAAATGCTCATCTATACAACAGACTCTCAGGGTTACTGAATTAAAGGCTGACTGTCGTGGCTAGGGACTGTGGAAGAGAATGGTGACTGGAAGCCAACATGAGTGGGCCTGCCTGTCTGTGTCGTCCCCTGAAGTCTAAATTAGTGGAGCCTGAGGTTGGGAAGGTGGCGGCTGGGCGGGGCTGGGCACAGAGCAGCAGTCCTCCCGCGCCCAGAGCGCCCCGGAAGTGCCCGGGGGCGGGGCCGGCGGGAGGCACTTCCGGCTGCGGGCGGGGCGGGCCGGCCGCTGGGCGCTGAGGCCAACCGGGCCGCGGCTGGCGGTGGTGCGCGTCCTGGCGGTTGCCAGGGTCCCCGTGTTCTGGCAGCCCCGCTTCCGGACGCAGTTGGATCCGCTCGCCTTGCCGCAGCATGGGGCTTGGAGAAGCCAGTCCTCAGCCCCAGCTGCACCATCCCATAACCTTTTCTTGTTTTAAAGTTTTATGTTCAAGTTTTTATAATTTCTAAGAAAATATTAGGACCCATGGAAATTTCTCTAGACTCCCAGGGGCTGACCAACCTTCTGGGTGCACTCACTGCAGCAAGAAGCCACCGCCGGCTGCAGTGACCATTTGCTCTTGACCCCCTGGAGGGCCAGTGATGGGAGTGGGGCCGCCCCGCGGGACCCCCAGGTCCCCTTCCCAGTCTCTTCTCTGACCTCAGCTTACCCTCCGCTGCACCTAGCTCTCCCTAACATTCTGTTTCTTTTCTTCTTTTACCCAGGCAAGAATTGTTCCCTTTCCTGTTGTTGTGCCAGGTGCTGCCAAGCCTGATCTCCAAAAGCCTGTCCAAGGACAGGGAAACCCTGATGGAGGCCCCCACAGGTGAGAGGTATGAGGGGACAAGCCCACAATGAGGCTCAGAGGAGTTGGGGAGAGAGGGGGGCAACTTAGGAATTCACCCCCTACCCACCCATCTGCCCAACTACTCAAGATTTAGCCAGGGCTCACCTTCCTGCCCCCTCATCTTCAACACTTCCTGCTACCTCTCCAGGTGCTTTCCTGGCCACAGCATGCCTCATGCTCCTTCTTCCTGGCTCCTTGCCTGCTAGTTGGCCTAGGTTCAGGAGGTGACCAGGGAGAGTGAATGAAAGAATGGAAGTGCTGGTGAGTCTTCTGCTTATTGTCCAGCTGCCCTGTCAGGCTCTAAGTTCTAAGCTCTCTCTGTCCCTAAGATGCAAGGCCACATCTGAAGTCCATAAAAGTTGAGGACTCATACTTCAATTTATTATTGTTGTTCCTATTAGTGCTCAGAACGATGCCGTCTTCCCTTGGTAAGGAAGTGTGCACCGTCAAAGCCTCTGCATGCTCAGTTTGCCAATTCTTGTTTACTTGGAAGCCTGAGTCAACCAACCGTGGCCACCCAGAACACACACAGACCCAATACACCAGACTCACACCTCCCATGAACTGAGAGTCAGCCCTATGTCCACAGACAGATGCCTATCCCTCCAGCGGGTACCAGATGCACTGTTCCAGACCCACCCCTGAAGCCCAGACCACGAATGTTAGAAAATAGGAACTGGATAGGCAAAATAATAGAGATCCACTACGTAGGACTTTAATCTTACTCCTCAGTCATTACCCTGGCTTGCTGGTGCCATCTCAAATTCACAGGTATCATGGTGACGGTTGTCTTGTGTCTAAGCTTGTGCATGTCTGGTCTCCTCTAGCTGTGAAAACTACATTTCCAGTGTGTGCTGGGCAGGCAGTGCAGACTGTGGGGCTGACTGCACAGCTGGAGGCTTCAGGGGCAGGAGGATGCCTTGAAGAGGCTGTGCCTGTGCTCCTGCAGGGGCCGCCCGGAGCACCCAGGTCTCAGGACCTTCGTGAACATGTGGACGCTGCACAGAGGCCTGGAGAGGGCCCCAGGGGACTGGGGACTGGTGAGAGAACTGGAGGGCACAGCAGTGGCGAGGGTGGTGTGTCCAGATCAGACAGCACACTTAACTCAGGCCCTGGAACAGATCAGCGAGGCCGCTGCAGAGGGCGGCCTTATCAGTGTGACACCTGTGACCGGAGCTTCAAATGCCACTCAGATGTGGTGAAGCACCAAAGCATGCATTCTGGGGGCAAGCCCTACGAGTGCAGCGACTGTGGGAAGGCCTTCATCCACAGCTCGCACGTGGTGCGGCACCAGAGGACTCACCACGGGGACAAGCCCTACGTGTGCCAGGAGTGCGGGAAGGCCTTCAGCCAGAGCTTCAACCTCCTCAGACACCAGAGGGTCCACACGGGCGAGAAGCCCTACGAGTGTCCCGAGTGCGGCAAGGCCTTCAGCCAGAGGTCGGACGCCGCCAAGCACCGGAGGATCCACACTGGAGAGAGGCTGTACGAGTGCAGCGACTGCGGCAGGACCTTCGTGCACAGCTCCAACGTGGTGCGCCACCAGCGGACTCACCACGGGGCGAGCCCGTACGAGTGCCAGGACTGCGGCCGCGCCTTCAGCCAGAGCTCCAACCTCCTCCAGCACCAGCGGGTCCACACGGGCGAGCGCCCCTACGCGTGCCCGGACTGCGGCCGCGCCTTCAGCCGCGCCTCCTTCCTCGGCGAGCACCGCCGCATCCACACGGGCGAGAAGCCCCACGAGTGCGGCCAGTGCGGCCGCGCCTTCCGGGCGCTGTCCGGCTTCTTCCGGCACCAGAGGGTGCACACGGGCGAGAGGCCGTTCCGCTGCTCCGAGTGCGGCAGCGCCTTCCGCCTCAGCTCCCATCTGATCCAGCACCGGAGGGTGCACGGCGCGGAGTGAGCGCACGCGGGGGGCGCGGAGTGAGCGCACGCGGGGTGCGCAGGGGCAGCACCTCTGGGGCCTCCCACACCGCAGGCCTGTTCTCACTCTGTGCAGCCAGGGAAACAATAAAGGTTTCTGCCTCTGAAAGCCTCCCTCTGTCTGCAGCCGGCGGGAAGGGAGGGTAGGAAAGGCCAGTGTCGCTGATGGGCACTGCAGGCTTTCCCAAGGTAGAGACTTGAGGGACCCTGGGCAGTGCTGGACTGTGCCAGCTTTGCTCTGTGGTCAGCAGGCCTCACCTGTGCCCTCATAACTCCCCTTAGTCTCATTCTTCAATGTGCATGCAAAAAAGATATCAGGAGACTGCTTCTAATAGACAACCAAGAAACAGAACTTTTTAGAACTCAAAAGAAAATAGGGGTAGTGTGGGAAATAAGAAAAGGTGAACAAGATTATAAGTCATAACCTTAGAGAAAGTGCAAGGGAAGCTGTGGGTGAGGTGGACAGGAGTTTAAAAAGAAACTGTAGCATTGAATCACAACAGAACATGACTGTTAAAGGAAAATTCAAAAAAGTAAAAGGAAAGATAGATAATAAAAAAGTTAAGATGAACAGACTCATATTTGTAATATGAATACTTTTTCACACTGCTCACTGCCTGTAGAAAGATTGGAATCCAAAGACCTCTTTTCATTTTGAACCATCTCCGTCCCTTTTTACTAAGACTGACACAAGTCCCTTAAGAATATCGTTGGTTGCCTATGTAGAGAATTACAGTTGACTTTATTAGACAAAAATGCACTTTAAGTTTTGAGTAAATATTTTCTCAGTTTTGTATGGTGTGTTAGAATGCTGTGGGACAGCATTTTTCAAGTTTTTAGAATCCCTCTTGTCAAGCTCAGGGAGTTTGTACTAGGAAGTATCTAAAACATTTCTAAGGCCTTATAAAAAGAGTGTTATGGCACAACCTTGCTTCTTTGCCCTCAAGCTTTTTCTTTTTTTTAAGAATCTTGCTGACCAGGGACAAGATGTGAAATGGTGTTATTTCTGAAACAGTGCCAACTCCAGTTCTGTCACATATTCTGGTTGCAGACTGGACAGTTTCTTCTCTGGCTTCTTCACCCTTGAAGCCTGTGCAGGTGGAGACACTTTTAACACTCTCCTTATGCACATCGGTCTCCTGGCTTTCGAGTTGCTGAAAGCACTGTTTTCCAACACCTCTTTTTTGAGGGGAGTGGGGGACACTGGGGATTGGACTCGGGCACTGGACCACTGAGCCACATCCCCAGCCCTATTTTGTATTTTATTTAAAGACAGAGTCTCAGTTGCTTAGTGCCTTGCTGTTGCTGAGGCTGGCTTTGAACTCATGATCCTCCTGCCTCAGCCTCCTGAGCCACTGGGATCACAAGTATAATTATTACTGCCCCTGGCCTCCCCCACCTCTTGCTGCTGCCTAATGGGTTTCCCCAGGCGCTCTCTGCTAGCAGAGTCCTGATTTCCTGGACTCTGTCCGATGCCTGGGCTCAAGGTCAGTGCTGTATGAGACTTGGGTGCTGGTTTTTTCGCACCTATCTTGGCTGTAAGGGATCCACAGACTGAGTGACATTTATTTCTCACGGTTCTAGGGGCTGGAAGTCCAGGGTCAAGATGCCAACAGATTTTGTTCCTGGAGATAGGTGCTTCCGGCTTGTAGAGGCCCTCCCTCCCTGTGGCATGCTTGTGGAGGGAAGCCCTGGAGTCCTTACTCTTAGAGAGCCCCAACCCCACCCTGCCCACCACCTTTCAATCTCATGAACACCCAAAGGCCCTAGGACTATGTGCCATCACATTGGGGATTAGGACTTCAACATAGGGATCTGGGGGGCCACAACAGCACCCCATTTTTTGGAACCTGTTTTATGTTAACATTTGCTGAGTAACAATCCACCCCCAAATCTAGTGGCTCATGGTGATGGCAGTGTTGGCGGCCCATGCCTGCAGGCTGAGGGGGCGAGTGCAGTTACTGCAGCTATGAGGTCAACCCAAAGGTGTGCGTGGGCTTTGATCTCAGGAACAGCCTCCGAGGTGTGCAGTCCCTCAGGAGGAGGCCCAGCCTCTGCCCTGGAGCTCTCCACTCACCCGCAGCCTTACCCACTGTCCTGGGCTGGGCCCGAGCCAGGCAACCTGGAGAACAGAGCGGACTGGAAATTCCCAGGTTTCATCTCCAAGTGTGAAGTTAGTCCCATCCTCCAGGAGGCAAGGGCTGCCTGACCCTTCTGTGAGATCAGACGAGACGCCTGTCAGGCTGACTCACTGCTGGCTCCTTTCCCAGGCCCTGGTCCCACAGCTGATGTCCTCACCACCTCCACCACCTGGGGACACCTGTCCTGCAGCTGCGCTGTGGATCCAAGCACAGGAAGGCCCCTCCTCGAGCCGTCAGGCAGCTCGGGCTCACAGCTTCGCCTCGGTGACTCTGAGGAGCTAGACTGCTGACAGCCCCACTGTTGGGGCCGGGACCTGGCAGTACTCCAGGCCTGGCCTGGAGTGCCACCAAGAGTCCCCTTGGGCTGACCAGGGGCCCTTCACACAGGGAACTGGAGCCCCCCTTGTTGGGATCGTAGTTTAGGCTGTGGGCAAGGGAGCCCCAGGTGAACCCCACTGAGGGAGCAAACAGCTGCAGACAGTCGGGGAGCGGAGTACTGAACACACAGGGCCAGCACCCCAAAGCCGGCCCCTGAGGGTAGGGTAGACCTGGGCGAGAACGGTATTGGGAAACTGAGGCGGGGCAGCATGAGTTGGCATCTTCTGTGTGGTAGGGGGTCTGCGTGGCATGCATGACGCTCAGCCAAGGGAGATGGGAACTGAAGAGTGGCCACTGGGCAAGGGACAAGGGGTCTGTGGCCTCTATGGAGCCAGGAGTGTGAAGATGAGGCCCTGCTGAGGAGAGGACAGGCAGGCCCTGAGGGGCACTGAGGCTCCTCGCCAGGCCCACCAGAGGCTCGGAGGCGGTCTCTGCTGTCCAGTAGGCGCGGCCAGGCTGAAGTTGGAGCTGGGACGCCAGCAGGTGAGAGCCAGGGCGACAAGCTGGGGTGTGACGTTGGGGCCTTTGTTCCAGGTCAGCACACAACCCACGCTCCTCGCACACAGCGCCTCACGTCCGTAGTAACGGCCGTGTGACTTCAGTAGTGAAAACCACAGACAGCTGAGACAGCCGTCCAGGGCCCAGGCGAGGTTCTCCCTCTGCTCCCTGGAGACCTTCTCTCCACCGAGCCTCTCGCACCTGACATCTGCCCACCTCCAAGGCCAAGGTAGAGTAAGGGCAGCGGCCTTGGTGTAGCTGGGAAGCCAGAGACCCTGTGTGTGTAGCCCAGACCTGCTGTCCCTGGGACCCCCCCAGGGGCACACCCCAACCCCAGCGCATCAAGACTGCACCCGCTGTCGCCCAGGTATCACCAAGCAGGACCCTCAGGGAACCCTGGTCCTGACCACCTCTCTCCCACTGGGCAGGTGAGCATCAGGACTTCATGTCCCAGGGCACTGCCAGCCCTCACCCCAAGCCACCCCAAAGCTCAGGAAGGAGGAGGAAAGACACAGGACTTGGCCTCAGGGACATCTGCTAAGGCAGGTTCCCATCACAGGAAGGACCTGTGCCCACCAGGGAAGACAGGCGGGGGCCCCAATGGGACCAATATGGGCCTCCTGGAACTCCAGGCACCTGTGGGCACTGACCTCAGGGCCCCACGACCGGCTGTGCTGACTCGGGGGCCAGGCAGCTGAGCGTGGCTGTGAAGGGCTCAAGTTGTTCCCCTTGTTTGTGGCCTGGCTGCTCACCTGGGCCAGCTGCTCCTCCACTGCTCCAGCTGATGCTGCTTCTTCTCTGGGAAACTGGCAGAAGGAGAGGCCTCGGTGCCAGGCTGGGCCAGCAGCAGAGGAGACCGCACCTGCGGCTGCCAGCTCTGCTGCAGCCTGCTTTCCCACACACACCTGCCGTCCTCCCAGTCACAGGCCAGGTGCGAGGGGAGCGGTCGAGTCAGGTCAAAGAGCAGCTCCACACCAGACCTGAGCACCTGCTGCCTGAGCCGCCAGGAGCCTGCCAGGGAGGAAGGGCAGCCCAGGCTGCTGCAGGAAGGGGGAGGTGAGGGAGGAGAGGAGGCAGACACCGGCCACAACTTCTGAGAAGGCGCTCAGCCCTACTCCTGCCTCTTTGAAGAAAAGCAGATTGGAAAAATAGAGAAGTCCTTTCACCTTGGCCACCTCTGCAAGCTGCCAGCAGGCACCAGCCCACCCTCGGCACCCTGCCACAGACACCTGCACGCGTGTGGCCAGGCGGGCCGTCCTGAGCTGGCCAGCGCAGGCACTGTGGCCAGCCTGAGCTACACCACCGCACTGATGGACTGCCACTCAAGCCTCGCACACACCCGGGCTGGGCACTTCTGGGAGAGTCACAAGGGTACTGAGTTCAGGGCTGTGACGGCCACACTTCTCACCAGGGCTGTGGTCTAACTGTGACGTCTGCTCCACAGACACCATGGTCAAGGATCCCTCTGGACGCTTGTCACCCAGAGGAAACACAGAGGGCAAGGGGATGCCATCGACAGCTGGACACCCTCAAGCCAGGCAGCGATGACTGTGGGAAGCTGGAACCCCAGGCCCTGCGTCCTCAGAGGCCACGCGCTCTGGCCGTGGTCCACCGCTGCCCTGGCTGGAGCCAGCAGGTGGGGCCCCAACCCCACCTCCCGCTGCAGGTCCACCTGGGGGTGCGCAGTTTTAGCCTTGGACGGGAGCCTCCCACCCCAGGGAGGCGGTGTGGCTGCCAGACACAGCAGTGGGGAACCCAGCGGGGCAGGTGGGCGGGCACGTAGGGACCCGGGGTCTCACCTGCCCGTCACTGGGGCCAGCTTCCTGACTCCATTTCTCAGCAAAAATGCTTTTGTCCCTCTTGTGTCCAGCAGGAGGGTCAGAGGAAGGCTGGTTCTGGGTGAGAAAGGGGGACACCTGGGAAGGGCAGCTGGCATCATTGAACATGGACACGGATTTCATAACAAGGAAGGAAAAGGGCCCCACGGTGCTCTGGGTCCCGCGTCACACCTGCCGGGCCTCGGAGGTTGTGCGCCGCGCCTGCTGCCTCTGGTCCTGGCCAGCACCTTCTCTTCCCTGCCTTTGCTCTGTGTCCTCTGAGTGATGAGTCTCAGCCACAGGACACTGTGCACTGAGCCCTGGGACCTAGTGAACCAGGGATCCTGGGGTGGTCTCAGGGACCCCAACAGAACTAGCAATGAATGACCCAAAAAGGAAACAGAAGAGACAGTTGTATCTACAACTGCACGAGAAAATAAGACACTTCAGGATAAAGTGACCTTAAAAAAAGGGCAAAACTAAAAAAAAAAAAAAAGAGAGAGAGAGAGAACTTTGCTAGAAGAAATCAAAGAAGTCTTAGGTCACAAAGGACCTTGTATGCAGGCCACCCAGCAGGACGGCTCACTCCTCAGCTGCCCGGCAGACCCAACCTTGGCCCTCTGCAGAAACTGATCAGCAGATCCCAAAATTCACGTGGAGTTTCAAGGAACCCCGAAGAGCCAAAACAATCCATGAAGAGAAACATGAGTCAGAGGACTCCCCTGCTAACCTCCTGACCTCCCCAATCCCATGCTCTGACCTCCTGACCTCCACACGGGGCAATCAGGACCTAGGGTGCCGGTTCAGAACACCCAGAACCAAGGCCCAGAACTGAGCCACAGGTGTGCAGTCAGCCAACTTCCAACGAGGACACCAGGGCCACTCAGCAAGGCCTGGACAGTCTCTTGGCAGAACCTGCTATCCTGTGCTGTCCTGCTCGGTGAGGCTGGACCAGGTCACAGTAGACACAGCAGCCAGGGAGGGGACCTGCACTAACCACTGGGAGCCCTTGTAGGAGGAGGCTTAGGAACCAGGCCCGCAGCCTCAGTTAGGCACAGCCTTCTTAGACAGGACCCTGACAGAACCCGTGACGGGCCAGGCACAGTGGTACAGCCCTAATCTCAATAGCTTGAGAGGCTGAGGCAGGATGGTCAAGACCAGCCTGGGAAAACCAGCAAGACCCCGTCTCAAAAAGAAAGAAAAAAGTCTGGGGTGTAGCCCGGGGGCGCCTGCCTGGCACCCCAAGGTGTGATCCCTAGCACTGAGAGAAAAAAGGGCCAAGTGGGTCACTGAAGTGCAGACTGCCGAGTGTCGGAGGGTCACCTGGGAAGGGAAGGACACCCAAGGAGTGGGAGGAAACGTGCCCAAGTCTGATGGAGGACTGAGCCAAGGACAGGCAGGGAGCTCTTACGCCCCGACAGAAGACGACCCATGGCCGCAGGCCCCTGAGAAGACGCGCACAGCAGGTCATCAGGCACACCAGCAAAGCCACCAAGAGAAGCCACCTCACACCCATCAGGCATCGGAACAGGAACGTGGCTGGGACGTGGGCGGGACCCTCCCAAGGCACCAAGGAACCAGCTTGTCGCCCTGGCTCTCACCTGCTGGCGTCCCAGCTCCAACTTCAGCCCGGCCGCGCCTACTGGACAGCAGAGACCGCCTCCGAGCCTCTGGTGGGCCTGGCGAGGAGCCTCAGTGCCCCTCAGGGCCTGCCTGTCCTCCCCTCAGCAGGGCACGTTCTATCACCCCTATCCTGCAGACAAGGACACTAAGGCCCAGCAGGGCACAGTGGTATACACCTAACTCCACCAATTCTGGAGCCTGAGGCAGAGGAGCGCAAGTCCAGGGCAGCCTGGGCAACTTAGCAAGACCTCATCTCAAAATAAAAAATGAAAAGGGCTGGGGATACACTGGGTTCAATCCCCAGTAGGGGGAAAAACAAAAACACGGAAGTCCAGGTTAAACAACCACTGGCCAGCTGCAGAGGAAGGCTGTGGACTGTGGTGACACTGTCTCCCTTCAGAGACCAGGGTACCCAGCACCACGCTCGGACACAGCCCCCACCAACACTGACTGTAACTGCAACCCAACAGGTCTGCACGGGAAGTGTTCATCTGTGCACCTGGGAGGGACAGGGCCATCCGGCACCAGCCTAAGCTGCGGGCTGTAGGTGGCTAAGCTGTCCTAAACACCGCACAAGATTCCGCCCTCTTAGGTCTGCACAGACCCTAGAGGAGATGGCCCCAGCACGCCCGCAGGGCCTCCCCCGCAGTCCTCTGGATGGCGGGGACACGCAGGGCAGGCTGGAGACATGGGCGGTGCTGGCCCCAGGCCGTCGTCACAGGACAGGGAGCACACGAATTTGCCGCTTTATGGTTACGGAACCGGCCTGGAAACCCAGACAAGTTCCAACCCAACACCGCAGCCGCGAGGCTCAGGCACAGCCACTAGGAAAAACAATTCCCAAACTGGGGACGAGGGGCGGGTCACGCGGGGAGATCACTAACACCTGCTGCGCGTCCTCTCGGTTACCCCTAACTTTTCCCAGGGAACCGAAGAGCTTGGCGACCTAGCAGGACTGCACCCGCTGCCGCAATAGCCCCGGCCCGGCCGCCTTCCCCAGCTCTGCGCCCGACCTGGAGCGCTGCTGCGCGCGCCGCCCTCCACAGCCAGGGCCCGGGCAGCGCAGCTCCGCCCCGCAGGGGAGGCCCCGCCCACCTCGCCTGCAGGCCCCGCCCGGCGGACCCGAGTCCCTGAGCCCGCGCAGCAGGTGCTCTCCTCCAGGGCCTGCCATCTGCCCAAGGCAGCGGCACCTGGCAGCTCTTTCCTTAGCAGGGTGGAGGGGACTCCACTCCGACGGAGGGCCGCAGCTCATCACCTACAACTCAGGCTGCTAACCAGCAAGGAACACGAAACAGCAGCACAGCCGGGACAGAACTGGCAGGGCCAGCTGTCCAGCCCACTGCAGCTTCCAGGAGTGACGGGACAGCCGCACTAGAAGTCCTGCAAAACCACCTGTGGACGAGCCCCTCCCACTCCACCAGCTGCTCGGGTTCCCACTGACATCTAGTGGCCGGAGGCGGGACTGAGACCTTGGCTGCACCCAGCTTACCTGGGGCTCCAGGACCCAGGGGCTCTGCAGGCAGCCCTGCCATTTCCGAATGGGCAGCACGGCGGCTGCAGGTGGACGCGCAAGAAGGCAGCAGGGACAGTGACGCCCGCCTCCCACCAGGTGTGCTAAAAGGGTGCCT